TTTGGAAAAGTTTGGATTCATATTAATAATTGTTTTACACTTAATAAATAATGACCAAGCAGTATAAACAATTTTGCAAGAAGACTGGTCAGTATCAGAACTTAAAATCTAAGCGCTAGTGTTTTCAAGCTAAAAAAATGACTTTGAAAGCTTGTTTGCCAGGATACATATGGGCTATTGTATTCATGAAATTCTAAACAAAATGAATGATCACTTAATCAAAACAGATTGATTAACTCCTGTTATTGGTGTATGATGAATCCACAAGGTTTTCCTTCTGCATTTCTTCCATCGCAACAATGCAGTACAATATTGCCATTCACCAATGAACTTCCATCTTCCTTCCTTCCTTCCTTCCTTCCTTCCTTCCTTCCTTCCTTCCTTCCTTCCTTCCTTCCTTCCTTCCTTCCTTCCTTCCTTCCTTCCTTCCTTCCTTCCTTCCTTCCTTCCTTCCTTCCTCTGTCTTGGTTCAACGTCGTTATGACATCATTTGAACCAGTTTTGCCTACTAGGTAAGGAGTCTGGGGTCTATTCAGTGAGGTGAAACGTTTTGAACGTTGCAGATAGAACAGTAATGGATAGAGCTAACATGATTCCATATTCTACCTTAAAGATAATCATGTCTCTCTATACAATATATTTGTATCTGAACATTCTTTAAAAAAACATTTATTATGTTTTTTCTCTATCTGAACATTCTGTAACATTGCTCCCTCCTGAACACACCCCTTGCTGTGAAACAATATTCACAATTTTCACATGAGCCCTACTCTTGTGCCATCACCAGACATCAGACAAACGTATATGTGTGCGTTTGTGTCTGTGTGTGCATGTATGTCTGTGTACGTTTTTGCAAATATGCAGGCCTACTAGGTCTTAATTATATAGGAATGAGAGGCACTGATACCCACCCTTGACAGTACACTCCCAAGAAGATACACATGGAAATAACTGTAATCTAGCCCTATAACCACAGATATAAGGTCATAGCTGGCTTTCTCTGTTTCTTTCTCTCTGTAGGCATCTTCTCTCGCCAGGAGTCTGAGTCTCTGCTGATGAAGGCTTAGGAGAGATCTGGGGATACACCATAGAGATAGATAGAAGACTCATCTTTGCATCTGTGCCATTATAGCGTATGTGACAGAATAGGCAGCGCTATTGAGGCTATCTCTTTTGTGTTAAAAAAAAGTGTAAAGCTAATATTGCTGATTTAGTCCTGAAACCAAATCTTGTGTGTCATTCATTTATTGTGGCCACTAAATGGCGTTTATAAAGTTTAAAGCCATTTACAAACCATAGCATCCAATTTAAAGAAGAAGGCAATACTCTGATCATTGGCTGATTGCTCCCAACCCAAAAGAACCCCCAGCCAGTTGACTACTTTAAAATGGTGGATGCCCTCAATGGCAATGTCCATGATAAAACAAGTTATATCCATGATGATTCCTCTATCTATCTCTATAGGGTTACACCCTGAGCTACCGCACCACCTGTGGCTTCAAACACTTCCTGGTGGAGGTCATCACTACATCGGGAGGAGAGCTCCTGCAGGAGTCACGTTGATCAAGAAACTGTTCCACTGACATCAGGGGTCTATTTCAGTAATACCCCCTCCACCCCTCCTGACAAACATACAGTGGGGAAGAAAAGTATTTAGTCAGCCACCAATTGCGCAAGTTCTCCCACTTAAAAAGATGAGAGAGGCCTGTAATTTTCATCATAGGTACACGTCAACTATGACAGACAAATTGAGAAATAAAAATCCAGAAAATCCCATTGTAGGATTTTTAATGAATTTATTTGCAAATTATGGTGGAAAATAAGTATTTGGTCACCTACAAACAAGCAAGATTTCTGGCTCTCACAGACCTGTAACTTCTTCTTTAAGAGGCTCCTCTGTCCTCCACTCGTTACCTGTATTAATGGCACCTGTTTGAACTTGTTATCAGTATAAAAGACACCTGTCCACAACCTCAAACAGTCACACTCCAAACTTCACAATGGCCAAGACCAAAGAGCTGTCAAAGGACACTAAAAACAAAATTGTAGACCTGCACCAGGCTGGGAAGACTGAATCTGCAATAGGTAAGCAGCTTGGTTTGAAGAAATCAACTGTGGGAGCAATTATTAGGAAATGGAAGACATACAAGACCACTGATAATCTCCCTCGATCTGGGGCTCCACGCAAGATCTCACCCCGTGGGGTCAAAATGATCACAAGAATGGTGAGCAAAAATCCCAGAACCACACGGGGGGACCTAGTGAATGACCTGCAGAGAGCTGGGACCAAAGTAACAAAGCCAACCATCAGTAACACACTACGCCGCCAGGGACTCAAATCCTGCAGTGCGAGACGTGTCCCCCTGCTTAAGCCAGTACATGTCCAGGCCCGTCTGAAGTAGATTTGGATGATCCAGAAGAGGATTGGGAGAATGTCATATGGTCAGATGAAACCAAAATATAACTTTTTGGTAAAAACTCAACTCGTCATGTTTGGAGGACAAAGAATGCTGAGTTGCATCCAAAGAACACCATACCTACTGTGAAGCATGGGGTTGGAAACATCATGCTTTGGGGCTGTTTTTCTGAAAAGGGACCAGGACGACTGATCCGTGTAAAGGAAAGAATGAATGGGGCCATGAATCTTGAGATTTTGAGTGAAACCCTCCTTCCATCAGCAAGGGCATTGAAGATGAAACGTGGCTGGGTCTTTCAGCATGACAATGATCCCAAACACACCGCCCGGGCAACGAAGGAGTGGCTTCGTAAGAAGCATTTCAAGGTCCTGGAGTGGCCTAGCCAGTCTCCAGATCTCAACCCCATAGAAAATCTTTGGAGGGAGTTGAAAGTCTGTGTTGCCCAGCGACAGCCCCAAAACATCACTGCTCTAGAGGAGATCTGCATGGAGGAATGGGCCAAAATACCAGCAACAGTGTGTGAAAACCTTGTGAAGACTTACAGAAAACGTTTGACCTGTGTCATTGCCAACAAAGGGTATATAACAAAGTATTGAGAAACTTTTGTTATTGACCAAATACTTATTTTCCACCATCATATGCCAATAAATTCATTAAAAATCCTACAATGTGATTTTCTGGATTTTTTTTTCTCATTTTGTCTGTCATAGTTGACGTGTACCTATGATGAAAATTACAGGCCTCTCTCATCTTTTTAAGTGGGAGAACTTGCACAATTGGTGGCTGACTAAATACTTTTTTTCCCCACTGTACCTGTCCTCCATGACACCTGGTGAAAGCAAATTGAAATTGTAGTTCCAGAATGGAAAACTTTCTCATTGAAAATGAATGACACTTTTCAGTTCTTACATTGACATTTCAATTTATCTCCTGACTTGATGGAATTGAAATTGCATTTCAGCCCCCGGAAAGAGAGCACTCTCACACAAAAACAATGGAGTGAACTTATGGCCCTATTCAGTCAAAACAGTGACTGGGTAAAAAAATCTGTAAATCACAAACAACATTCCTGTGTGGCCACTGTAGAATTCGATAAGATATTCCATTTATGCTGAGGATAACAGTGTTTCAACAAAAATATAACCTTCAATGTTTAATCTGATTCCATATTATGTTATCAAATGCAAGAGACTCAGTCAAGACTGATGGATCTAGGCTGGTAGCTATCATACAATCAGATCTCCCCAAATGTAACTTATATAAATATATAGTTTACAATTACCAAAAGGCTACAATGAGCTGACACTGGTAATCAAAGTCTATCTTTATAATTGAATATATTTAGATCAGAGGATACACCATGAGTATTGCCGCGTTCACGTGCTAGTCGGAACTAGGAAACTCCGACTTGCAGCTAACATTTCAGAGTTTCCTTATTCCGACTAGGATGTGAACGTGGCTTAACTTTACCAATTAACCATAATCAGTCAATAAGTATTGCTCTGAAATATGAGGAATGAGATAGTCTAATGCTTCAAGTAAAAGTAATCAAAGTTTATTATTACAATGAATGCAACAAGATACAATTAATAATGTGAAATAGGCTATACCGTAGGCCAAGGTCGTCAAGGTAAAATGGAAAAAAAAGTATACGAATAATGCTGCGGTCAAAACAACTGGGAACTCGAAAATCTCTGACTTCCGACTTCAGTGCATTCAAGACAACTGGGAACTCGGATTTCCAAGTCAGAAACTCAGGCATCTATCTTGAGCTCTGACTTTCCGACCTGAAGATCCCTTACGTCATGATTTGAGCTCGTTTTTTCATAGTTCCAGTTGTCTTGAAAGCACCATTATTGGCTTGAATGGTCCCACCTCAACTAACCTCCTCCCGACCGCCTTCCCTTTTTGAAGACATTTATTTTCATTGTTAGAGTGGCCAATAGAGTATCTGGTCAATATAATGGATAATCTGTGAAATTGTTTTATTGAAATTCCATACATTTTGAAGGAAATAAATTAAAATGTGTTACAAAAATCTATACATCCTTCTTAAAAATGGTAACCCAGAACATCACAAGCAAACAGATAAACACAAAAACAGAAACACATAGCCTACAGGACTTTTACATTCAAAGACATTTGAAAAGCTTAAGAGTATCAATTGATTTCAGTACCTTCTTATTCTTACAGGGCATAGTATACAATGTGGCAAAGCAATTATTTAAATATACCTTTCAAAATATTGAATAGGATGTTTTTTTCTTTAAAAAATGGATTTTATGGATGTAATATTTAGCAATTATAATCAAATTCATCACATACTTTTCATTAGTGAAGAATCTTGGACTATCAAAAATAAAAAGCTTGCAGATGGATGTCCCTACCAAATCCGAAGATCCACCCAGAACATAGAAAAACAAATGCTCAAGTGATTATTTCCCAGATTGTACATTTGAACATTTCTCATCAACATTTCTAATATATTTACAAATACTTTCGTTGGACGACTAACACCTATGAGTTATTATAGTGTCCTCTATCTAGCTCTATGACTGGCACCCACTAGCTGTCAGCGTAATATTATGACGTAGTTTCCGGTATCACGCCCGCGGCCCGACTCACCCAAAAAAAAAACAGTCGAACTGGCAAGGAGCAGTCAAAAAAGGGGTCGAAAATACTCAAAACATCTACAGTAAGTTAACGTTGTGTATGAATAAACCTCCCGTCCCTGGTACTGTCATGACGTTCGTATTATCAAGACAAGTAGCAAACAAACGTTTCATGATATGCTAACGTAACGTTAGTTTGGCTAATAGCTAGCTACATCTGCCAGCTAGTCTAGGTAGCTAGCAACACTAATCTCTGGCGTTTTGATAGCACAACGCTAGTGAGACTAACGTCTATTTGTCAGATATGCCAAAGTAGTTGTCATACAATTATTTTCAACATAGACTAGTTTTGGTAGCTAGTGTAAACCATAAACAAGTAGCTAGCTAACTAGTGTCTGGCTGGATGGCTCGTTTTGTCATCTGTATGACGCAACGCGACAGGTGTTCTGAAGTCAAGACTCGAATGTCTCCCCCTGAATTGTTGCTAGCTAGGTCAGGGGTGTCAGAGGTCCAGTGTCTGTGTTTATCCGTGACTTGTCTGTTGAATATAGTTAAATGCTGACTAAGCACTTGAGCAACAATGTTTTCTTCATACATAGGATATCATAATGATCATCAGGACTGGCTGTGTGTATCACTCATTAATTACATTATAAAAGCATTTAAAAGTATTAGCTAGCTAGCTAGCAAATATCCCTGTTTTTTTAATAAATTGACATAAACAATTCCAGACTGTCACTGTGTGATATTTCAATCTGTGCATGTCAATACATTTGAGGAGCCTAGCTAGTACCACAAGTAAGGACATTCAAAAAGATTTGATTAATAACTGTATGTTTGAGAAGTATCATCTCAATCACTTTCTCTCTATTTGACAGAACCCCAAGAAGCATAGCTGCTTCACTCTCCACCAGGATCACATCGTGATTGGACACAGAACTGTCTCCCCACCAATGATAGCTCTTTAGAGGGGAAATTACCCTGTCCACCACAGTTATTGGCTGAGCTGGACTTGTGGTCACAATGATGAAGAGGATCTGAGGGAGTCTTCCTCCTCAGGTGTAGGAGGCGAGCACTGTCTTCTCCCATCCCCTGGACACACCCATTAATATGAACCATGGACCCAGGAGCAGTTGACAGTCCCGTCACCTTAGTCATCAAGGCCCCCAACCAGAAGTATGACGACCAGACAATAAACTGTTTTCTCAACTGGACGGTGGAGAAACTGAAGAGTCACATCTCTAATGTGTACCCAAGCAAGCCGGTAAGTGGGTACTGCTTTTTTTTTGTTTCCTCATCCCCACCATTCCATTATCTAAGTGGAGTGGATAGGGCAAGGGGAACCGTCCGCCTGGAGAGCTACTGGGTGTGCAGGCTTTTGCTCCAGCTCTGCTCTAGGCCTAACTCTCAAAGGAATAACCACAGTAAAAGTATCTGCAAATTATACTGAACAAAAATATAAATGCAACATGCAACAATTTCAAAGATTGTACTGAGTTACAGCTCATATAATCAGTCAATTGAAATAAATGCATTAGGCCCTAATCTATGGATTTCACATGATTGGGAAAACAGATCAGTCAGTATCTGGTGTGACCACCATTTGCCTCATGCAGCGCGACACATCTCCTTCGCATAGAGTTGATCAGGCTGTTGATTATGGCCTGTGGAATGTTGTCCCACTCTTCAATGGCTGTGCGAAGTTGCTGGATATTGGTGGGAACTGGAACATGCTGTAATACACGTAGATCCAGAGCATCCCAAACATGCTCAATGGGTGACATGTCTGGTGAGTATGCAGGCCATGGAAGAACTGGGACATTTTTTAGCTTCCAGGAATTGTGTATAGATCCTTGGAACATGGTGTTGTGCATTATCATGCTGAAACATGAGGTGATGGCGACGGATGAATGGCAAAACAATGGGCCTCAGGATCTCGACACGGTATCTCTGTGCATTCAAATGGCCATCGATAAAATGCAATTGTGTTCGTTGTACGTAGCTTATGCCTGCCCATACCATAACCCCACCGCCACCATGGGGCACTCTGTTCACAACGTTGACATCAGCAAACCGCTCACCCACACGACGCCATACACATGGTCTGTGGTTGTAAGGCCGGTTGGACGTACTGCCAACTTCTCTAAAACGATGTTGGAGGCGGCTTATGGTACAGAAATTATCATTAAATTCTCTGGCAACAGCTCTGGTGGACATTCCTGTAGTCAGCATGCCAATTGCACGCTCCCTCATAACTTGAGACATCTGTGGCATTGTGTTGTGCAACAAAACTGCACATTTTAGAGTGACCTTTAATTGTCCCCAGCAGAAGGTGCACCTGTGTAATGATCATGCTGTTTAATTAGCTTCTTGATATGCCACACTTGTCAGGCGGATGGATTATCTTGGCAAAGGAGAAATGCTCACCAATAGGGATGTAAACTAATTTCTGCACAAAATTTGAGCAAAATAACATTTTTGTGTGTATGGAACATTTCTGGTATCTTTTATTTCAGCTCATGAAGCATCGGACCAACACTTTACATGTTGCGTTTATATTTTTGTTCAGTATAGTATTGAAGTAGACTTACTTCTCTAGAATTTGAGGAAGAAACAAGCCACAGATGTCTCAAGTTATGAGGGAGCGTGCAATTGGCAAATGTTTCCATCGCATTTTCAACTCTACTGGTGGTTTTCTCACAAAAAATGTTGCGCTATATAGCGAGTGTGCCCACTCTGGTATTGGCACGTGCGCTCTAGCCAACAGAGCAAGCGCACGTGCACGTATAGCCTACTTGATGAGATTATTTAGATTTTTCAAACGGAAGCCAAGCATTGATTATCATGTCACCAGAATAAGACCCTCAATATTTATTGGAAAGGAGCATTAAACTCATCACCTTGCACTTTAATCACCCTGTGAAGTTCATCATAACCTATTTAATCTGTAACCTAATAAACTGCATCGCGTGACTCCAAGTTTACTTTGATATGTTGGTTATTATATCAATATTTGCGCATAAAAGCATTTCCACCGACGTTAAGCCTTAATTCATTTTACAGACACAAAAAGATCCCACCTTGTCTAGCGTATTTTGTTTTGTCGGAATTTGGAAAGTTTACCGAAAAACGTTCTGTTTCATCATGCCTGTCATTACATGTTTTATCCGACATGTACTTTACTCACATAGAAAGGTTGGATGGAAACCTGGGGATTTGAGGAATGCTTATCTCACCCCACACCTTCATATTATCCCACACCATGTTTTCTCTAAAGACAGCTGATTCCTCCCAGGTACAAAGCCTATTCTGTTACTGATGTCATGTACTGTCACTGTATCAGATCAGTGAAACATTTAGGTCTATGGTTACAATAGTACTTCTGTATTAATAAACATACATATGTATGTGCAATAAATATTGCCTTACCCCACCACCTTGTTGATATACTTTCAGCACCATTGTTCTTGGTCCTCTGTAGCTCAGCTGGTAGAGCACGGCGCTTGTAACGCCAAGGTAGTGGGTTCGATCCCCGGGACCACCCATACACAAAAAATGTATGCACGCATGACTGTAAGTCGCTTTGGCTAAAAGCGTCTGCTAAATGGCATATTATTATTATTATTTATTATTATTCTTGCAAAATTAAGAGCTAGAGACATGTTACATTTCCATAATTTTTGTATTTGGGGCCTATCAGCCCAAACTATGTGATTTTAAATGCTCTAGTAGCGTATTCTGCAACATAGGCTTTCTCAGACTGACAGTTGTGTTGTCTTAGTCATCCAAGGATCAGCGGCTGGTATACTCGGGTCATCTCCTCCAGGACCACCTGCAGCTGAGGGATGTCCTCAGGAAGGTAAACACCACCCTCGACCTTGTCTCTGTTTTTCCACTGTGGCATATGGTCGAGAAGTTGGGAGGATGGTGGACTAACACTATATCTGAAATGTTAGAATTGGTATGCAATATCACAGAAACCTCACTCAACATAACAGACTGACTGCTGACCATTTATTGCATAGGGCTCACCCCCTTGTGTGTCTGTGAGAGAGGGTGAGCATGAGGCAGAAAAGACTGTGACGGTATAACAATAGCTGATCTGATGTAGTAAGCAACATTGTTGAGGTTGGCTTTGACCCTGAATTCTAGCCTCTTCCCTGAAATCCCCCCCCCCCCCCCCCCCCCCCTTCTCTCTCCCTCCCTCTCTCTCTCACTCCCTCCAATCACCAAAACAGAATCAAATGATTAATTACGCCCCTCTCCTTTCCCCCCACATCCAACCCTCTATTTCCGCCAACAGCAGGAGGGTTATCACATGATGCACCTGGTGTGTGCCTCCCGTAGCCCCCCAGCGTCGCCCACGCCCCGCAGCTCCGCCCCCAGCCCTGTGACCTCTGACCCCAGCTCCAGCTCTGGGGTACGTCCAATGGTGTGGAGTCATTCTGTGGAGCTCAACAATTCAATCAGATATAAATTAAATGTCTAGAACACATAACAGAATGCTCTGTCATGTGGAATGGAGAGTCGGGTGGGGTCTATATGATACATTTCTACTTGGTGACTTGGAACGTATCCCTTAGTTGTCTTTGCAGTAGGGCTGGGTGATATGGCCAAAATATCATATCACAATATTTTTAAATTTTTTTACGGTATTGGAGGTTTTTGAATAAAAGTTTAAATATGCTTTATTAGTAGTGCATGACCCTAGGGTGGCAACACATACATTCTAAGTGTTTTTAATAGGCTTTGTACATTCAATGAAACTTCAACCAAAAGTTGGAATATAGTGGGCACTTTGAATCCAGTGTTTGACACAATGAATGAAAAAGCAAGGGAGGGGTTATTGTGACAGGGTAGGAACCAAAGTGTTGGTCAGTGTTTCCCATTGGACCCTAATTAATGTTACATTAAATGTTTTCACTTACTGTAGCTTTGATGTAGCTAAAATATGAATGCTTCTCCTATTCCTCTCAGATTTAGGATATACCGAATGCTTATGGAAAGCAGCACCGTTGTCACCAACATCTGCAGCATTGACCATGCATTGACTTGAAGCATTGACTTCAAGTGGTTGTTGTGACATGTGGTAGCGCAAAAACTGCTCTCCTTGAGTGACGGGGCGGGTCTTGGTGTGTGTGGAAGGAGAGAGACGACTCAAGTAGCAAACTGAGTAAACTATAAAAACTGACATTATTACACACGGTGGAATGGCATAACACATTTAACAAAACAAACATTGAAATACCGTTATACAAGGTAAAGTAAAAACCCAAACCTGACCGTGCATCAATACTGGTATATAGTCAAATACGGTATACCGCCCAGCCCTACTTTGCAGCAGTCCTTATTCCCATAGTAGCATTGTTTTTTTAACCAATATATTAATGTTTTTTTGTGAGTAAAAGTTGTTATTCCTCTTTCCTACTTTGCTGGTTTATGATTGGTGTATGTCTTGTCACTCAGAGTTCAGACAGTGCTGGCTCCACCTCCCAAGCCACGACACCAAATCAGGACAGTCAGTCCGCCTCCTCCTTAGTAGCAGGAAGTTATGATGGACTAAGGCATCGTGGAGGCTTCCCCCAATTTAACCCTCAAAATCCTACCTCCACTGCTATAACGCAATGGTAAGCACTGTTCTCGTGTATTGGGATCAATTCTACTTCCGTTTCTACCTAGTCAGGAAATGAAGTGAAGTTCAATTTAAAACTTTAAAAGATGGGGGGGGGGGGGGATGCAGAAAATATTGTGTGTGCATGGTTTTTGAATGCGTGTGTGACTTTGTTTTTCCTCCACAGGCCAGATGGGACGCAGGTCCCAGTACAGGGGGGTATGGCTGCAGGTGTGCCCCCCCACCCCATGTACATGCCCATGCAGGTCCTCTGGTGGCAGCAGATGTATGCACGCCACTACTACATGCAATAGTAAGTCAGGGTCGTCTGCACTTAGGGCCCAATCCTAACAACCCGTAAGGACCACAGACTTCTCTACGTGGGAATGAGTTATATTCACTAACTTCTATCCGGTAAGACTTATTTATGTTTTTCTTTCTCTCCCCCAATCTCTCCCAGTCAAGCAGCAGTGGCAGCCTCACAGCCCCCCTCCCCCCCCAGTCCCACCCTCTCCCCCCAACCCGCACAGCCCAATGAAGCTCCGCCTCCCCGGGGGCCTAACCCCGCCCCTAACCCCATCCCAGAGGACAGGCCGGCCAATCCCAACATCCAGATGAATGCCCAGGGTGGGGCCGTACTTGACGAGGACGAGTTGAACCGTGATTGGCTGGACTGGATGTACACGGTCTCCCGCGCCGCCATCTTGCTCAGCATCGTGTATTTCTACTCCTCCTTTGGCCGCTTCGTCATGGTGATAGGCGCCATGCTGCTCGTCTTCTTGTGAGTTCTCATCTGTACACTATCAGTTTGACATTAGAATGGATACTTTTGAAGGACCCTGTTTACTTTGTATCTGTGTGTGAGATACTCATTTTGTGATTGTGTGTGTTAACTAGGCACAGGGCTGGTTGGTTCCCTTTTAGGCCAGAGCTGCAGAACCCCAGAGGAGGTGGAGGAGGAGCGGGGTTAGCTCATCAGGATGAGGCAGAGAGACACCAGGACATCCAGGAGATGGTGGGTGCTCCCCGTCTAAGAAGGACCCCATCTCTGTCTGTGTGGTTATGTTTTTCTGTCTGATCTGTCTCTGTGTCGAAGCTGGTCCACATTCTCTCTCTCCATTTCTGCTTTTCAAACCGATGGTCCTTCTCTTATTCTCTTTCTTTTTCTCATCCTGTTTCTCTCCATTTCAGGAGCGGATCATGGATGAAGGGCTGGAGGATGAGGAGGGCGACAGTGGAGAGGAAGGCCCAGAGGACCCGGCAGCCCCCGCTGCCCCCCGCCACCACGGCTTCCTGGCCGCCGCCTGGTCCTTCATCAGCACCTTCTTCACCTCCCTCATCCCAGAGGGACCCCCCCAACCCGCCAACTAAACCATGGAGGGAGACACCCCTCCTCCCCACCAACAAACTCCCATGCTGCCAACTAAAAGACTGTAAAAAGAGCTGCACAGCAGAGGTGTGCAGTGTGGGAGAAGTCTTGAATAAATCAATGAACATCGAACAAACTAACATGTTATGCCATGTTAAACAAGCTAACGATGCTTTATATTCCCGAGGCTTCTCTGCTTTGAGCATACAAACCGGTACACACACCTTTTTCCTTTGATCATGTCTGCTCATTCAGATTTTGGTGGCATTGAAAGGCCTCGAAGGGTCTTCCATTTTAAGCAGTAATACAGCCATTGCATTTATTGTTTTGTTTTTTTGAGACTAGATGAAAGGACACACCTAAATGTGTATGAATATTGCAGTGACTGTAGCACATATGTTTCTCCCTCTGTGTATATGAGCATTATCTATTTACATATAAGTATATACATCTTAATTCCTGACAAAATGGGTTTTTGAATAAAAGCCTTGTGGTTTCATATGTGTGAACTGCCTTCTATGATTGGTTCAATTGAAGGACAAGTGAGATGTTCTCTATTTGACCTACTGTATTTGGGAGTACTAAATGGAAGTTAGTGCTCTTTTTCATCTGGTGCAGTTGACATAGTGGAATTTAATCATCCAGTCAAAGCCCTGTAACCATAGATATCCTATAATGAATATTCTATTCGTGAAACAGCTTAGATAACTCAGGAATTCTACTTCATTCAATTGATAGGATTGGTTCCATTGAATGACACTCGAGGTTCTCTAATTGTCCTACAGGTGGTGCCATTGTAAACAAAATATTAAAAAAGCTCTGACTGATTTTTAGAACAGAACTGTTTAGCTGTCTGTGTAATCAGTGAATGCTAGGGCCTTGTCGGTGTCCATTGAGCCTGAGTGGTTCGGTGCTTTTAAAAAAGTTCAACGTGGCGCGCCTGGCAGACTCTTCCTATTTTTCATGCGGTCAATGTCAGGTGCAGGAGAAACATGACTGGTGGCACTGCTCCGTGGACAAACCCATACGTAGATTTTGGTAGTAACAGAGTCCATTCATAAATTTCAGTGCTCTTTTTCATCTGGTGCAGGTGACATAGTAACAGTGGGAAATGTACCAGCCAAACAGAGCCCTGTAACAATAGAGATCCTTTTGAAATGGCATGTAATCATATGCCTGTAACAGCATGTATTGTCACAAAACCAGCATAATGGAATCCATCAGTGACATAATTACATAAATGACAACAATGACAGAAGTCAACACTCCAATGACAGATTGACCACGACACTACCTTCACTGAGATATCCACCTTCAGAAAGGACTGTTGAGATCCATTGAGATAAATAGTCTACATTTGGTTTTGAATGCAGCGAACGCATCTTTCGATAAAATGATCCCTTTGATGTACTCTATGTTGACAATTATATCATGGATTTATTTAGGTGTGAACAATACAGAACTCATAAAAGTGGTTTTGTGGACTGTCATAATCTCAGTTAACCCAGAACCAAAATCTTGTGTAATTTGGTCAGATTCTTTATGTTGATGTAGTCTGTCCACCAGGGATTAGGACTGCCATGACTTTCATGTGATTTTTTTGTTTAATTTGTATTCCTCAGGTCAGTACTTAAGTTTTCCTTGATGGCCAAAAAGCTCAATTTTAGTCTCATCTGACCAGAGTACCTTCTTCCATATGTTTGGGGAGTCTCCCACATGCCTTTTGGAGAACACCAAACGTGTTTGCTTATTTTTTTCTTTAAGCAATGGCTTTTTTCTGGCCACTCTTCTGTAAAGCCCAGCTCTGTGGAGTGTACGGCTTAAAGTGGTCCTATGGACAGATACTCCAATCTCCGCTGTGGAGCTTTGCAGCTCCTTCAGGGTTATCTTTGGTCTCTTTGTTGCCTCTGATTAATGCCCTCCTTGCCTGGTCCGTGAGTTTTGATGGGCAGCCCTCTCTTGGCAGGTTTGTTGTGGTGCCATATTCTTTCCATTTTTAAAAATAATGGATTTAAATGGTGCTCCGTGGGATGTTCAAAGTTCCAGATATTTTTTTATAACCCAACCCTGATCTGTACTTCTCCACAACTTTGTCCCTGGCCTGTTTGGAGAGCTCCTAGGTCTTCATGGTGCCGCTTGCTTAGTGGTATTGCAGACTCTGGGGCCTTTCAGAACAGGTGTATATATACTGAGATCACGTGACACTTAGATTGCACACAGGTGGACTTTATTTAACTAATTATGTGACTTCTGAAGATAATTGGTTGCACCATATCTTATTTAGGGGCTTCATAGCAAAGGGGGTGAATACATATGCACGCACCACTTTTCTGTTATTTATTTTTTAGAATTTTTTGAAACAAGTAATTTTTTTCATTTCACTTCACCAATTTGGACTATTTTGTGTATGTCTATTACATGAAATCCAAATAAAAATCCATTTAAATTACAGGTTGTAATGCAACAAAATAGGAAAAATGCCAAGGGGGATGAATACTTTTGCAAGGCCCTATATATATATATAGATATAGATAGATGTAGTAGGTTGATTGGAAAGTCAGGGATTTGTTGCAGAGGGAATAAAGAGTTACTCTTCAGGATCTTGAGCCTTGTGAGAATGGCCATAAAGTCATCGTATTTGATCCCTCCACCAGAGCTGTACCGGTCCCATAGTATTTTGAAGGTTTCATCGTCCAAACTGAGATCTATATGACGGAGGATTTATTATCATTTACTTTTTCTATCGGCAAATATACTCTACCAAGAGTTCAGTTTCACTATCAGGTCAGGATGTTTACAATCAAAACCAAATCATTGTGCAGTAAATTAAGAGAAAATCAACAAAACATAAATACATCCTTTGATTGTAACAGTGATACATGACCTACCACGGACATCAAGGGCATTCTTCATCTGGTATTCGGTGTCGAACCCTGGGTTCTGCCACTCATAGGACTCTGTGTACTCTCTCTTGGTAACAGACACGTAGTTCTTTAGGTTGTGAAATTCTTTCACATCCAGTTTGCCTGATTTGTCTTTCTGAAAGGATCTGGTTAAGGAGAAAGGATTGACGGCTGATACACTTTTGAAACCATTGTCAACCAAGGAGCCTACTGGGGCCTCAGTGGGTCCACAATATAGCTCAGAAAGTAGTAAATAAATATAAAGTATTGCTATCAAGCACGAAAAAAATGGTTTTGGGGGAAGAAATATGAATAAATAAACTCATATAAAAGTGAACTATAAAACAGAAACAGGTGAAGGATACATCTTCTAGAGCCAACAATATGTGGGCAGTTTGAAGACAGTGCTACAATTGAAGTAGACAAGAACATACATGTATAAATGAAATACACACATACATCATATATAATGCTTTAAATTCAAGAAACCACAACTAACATTGGTCCCGAACAGAGTGACCAAGTTCATTCAGCCTGACCAGGATTTTCTCAGCCGTGAGTTGCTGTGGAGACCAAAACACACAAGCATTTGATAGGATAACGGTAGTATTCTCCAATCTCCACTTGCCACCTATCCACCTACTCCCACTTCTCTTCATACATTCCTCATTAAACACATTATAGGTATCATTCACTTGCTACATATAAATAATTACTCCTCAGTCTTCAGAAACAAATATTTTAAAACACACCTCGGGATTACTGTCATTTTTTTTGTACACATCTCAGACAGTACTGAAATTAGCGTTTGTAACCTTTTTTGTGTAAGGTGACGATACCCCTAGCATGCACCCTGCTGGGTCTGTAGCAAAATAATAAAAGCCAAATCATTGTTGCAGTCACTACTGGCCCATGTACTTTTTCCAAGGTATTACTGAATTATACAACTTGGAGAAACTATTGATTTATTAAAAGTGGTGACTTGAATAAGGGTTAAAAATGACTACAGTGTCGGTACCTACTCTCACGCATGACTCCTCTGAAAGGATTCACAGCTCAGATCATCAGGCCAGGACATCCCAAACGTATTCAACACACTGTAACACCCCAGTTTGGCTCTCTCACAAAGGGATCTGCAAGGGCCCTTCCACACACTGGGGAGCATAAACAGAACACAGAAAGAAGCGGATATCCACAGAACAAGTCAATTTGACTACAGACTCCAATTGAGCCATCTTAACGGCTGCCTCCGCCTGTTTTTTGTGTCCCAGCAGGTTTGGCATGGCCGTCAGGTTGTAGGAGATACCCTGGCACAGTGGCATGGTGATTGGCTGGCAGGGGCCCTCAGCGTGAGCACTGCTCACTCCAAACTGAAGAGGAAACAACAAAATACCTCATACAGTGGGGGAAAAAAGTATTTAGTCAGCCACCAATTGTGCAAGTTCTCCCACTTAAAAAGATGAGAGAGGCCTGTAATTTTCATCATATGTACACGTCAACTATCATAGACAAATTGAAAAAGAAAAATCCAGAAAACCACATTGTAGGATTTTTTATGAATTTATTTGCAAATTATGGTGGAAAATAAGTATTTGGTCACCTACAAACAAGCAAGATTTCTGGCTCTCACAGACCTGTAACTTCTTATTTAAGAGGCTCCTCTGTCCTCCACTCGTTACCTGTATTAATGGCACCTGTTTGAACTTGTTATCAGTATAAAAGACACCTGTCCACAACCTCAAACAGTCACACTCCAAACTCCACTATGGCCAAGACCAAAGAGCTGTCAAAGGACACCAGAAACAAAATTGTAGACCTGCACCAGGCTGGGAAGACTGAATCTGCAATAGGTAAGCAGCTTGGTTTGAAGAAATCAACTGTGGGAGCAATTATTAGGAAATGGAAGACATACAAGACCACTGATAATCTCCCTCGATCTGGGGCTCCACGCAAGATCTCACCCCGTGGGGTCAAAATGATCACAAGAACGGTGAGCAAAAATCCCAGAACCACACGGGGGGACCTAGTGAATGACCTGCAGAGAGCTGGGACCAAAGTAACAAAGCCTACCATCAGTAACACACTACGCCGCCAGGGACTCCAATCCTGCAGTGCCAGACGTGTCCCCCTGCTTAAGCCAGTACATGTCCAGGCCCATCTGAAGTTTGCTAGAGTGCATTTGGATGATCCAGAAGAGGATTGGGAGAATGTCATATGGTCAGATGAAACCAAAATATAACTTTTTGGTAAAAACTCAACTCGTCGTGTTTGGAGGACAAAGAATGCTGAGTTGCATCCAAAGAACACCATACCTACTGTGAAGCATGGGGGTGGAAACATCATGCTTTGGGGCTGTTTTTCTGCAAAGGGACCAGGACGACTGATCCATGTAAAGGAAAGAATGAATGGGGCCATGTATCGTGAGATTTTGAGTGAAAACCTCCTTCCATCAGCAAGGGCATTGAAGATGAAACGTGGCTGGGTCTTTCAGCATGACAATGATCCCAAACACACCGCCCAGGCAATGAAGGAGTGGCTTCGTAAGAAGTATTTCAATGTCCTGGAGTGGCCTAGCCAGTCTCCAGATCTCAACCCCATAGAAAATCTTTGGAGGGAGTTGAAAGTCCGTGTTGCCCAGCGACAGCCCCAAAACATCACTGCTCTAGAGGAGATCTGCATGGAGGAATGGGCCAGAATACCAGCAACAGTGTGTGAAAACCTTACAGAAAACGTTTGACCTGTGTCATTGCCAACAAAGGGTATATAACAAAGTATTGAGAAACTTTTGTTATTGACCAAATACTTATTTTCCACCATAATTTGCAAATAAATTCATTAAAAATCCTACAATGTGATTTTCTGGATTTTTTTTCGTCATTTTGTCTGTCATAGTTGACGTGTACCTATGATGAAAATTACAGGCCTCTCTCATCTTTTTAAGTGGGAGAACTTGCATAATTGGTGGCTGACTAAATACTTTTTTTCCCCACTGTATTCACCAATCAGCAATAATTATTATTCAAGGTTGTTTACCTTTATTTTACCAGGCAAAACTGATGGAGGTTTCCTTTCTTTCCTTTCCTCACCAAACATTTTGATATTGATAATTTATGTTTAAAGGGGCACTTTACCCTTTTTAAAAATCTAATTTATCATCTGGTGTGCATCATGTGACTTTGACCAACTATGAGCAGGCAAAAGAAACTGAAACACATTTTCCTAACCTTTGCCTGCCCTGATCATAGTTGTTTAAATAACAATGCAGTGTAGTGGTGTGCTGGTTGGAGCCTGGTATTGAATCTGTAAGGTTGATACACTATATATGCAAAAGTATGTGGACACTCCTTCAAATTAGTGGATTCGGCTATTTCAGCCACACCAATTGCTGACAGGTGTATAAAATCGAGCACACAGCCATGCAATCTCCATAGACAAACATTGGCAGTAGAATGGCTTTACTGAAGAGCTCAGTGACTTTCAACGTGGCACCGTCATAGGATGCCACCTTTCCAACAAGTCAGTTTGTAAAATGTCTGCCCTGCTAGAGCTGCCCCGGTCAACTGTAAGTGAAAACGTCTAGGAGCAACAACAGCTCAGCCGCGAAGTGGTAGGTCATACAAGCTCACAGAACGGGACCGCCAAGTGCTGAAGCGCATAGCTCGTAAAAATGGTCTGTCCTTGGTTGCAACACTCACTACCAAGTTCCAAACTGCCTTTGGAAGCAACGTCAGCACAAGAACTGTTCGTCGGGAGCTTCATGAAATGGGTTTCCATGGCCAAGCAGCCACACACAATCCTAAGATCACCATGCGCAATGCCAAGCATCGGCTGGAGTGGTGTAAAGCTCTCTGCCATTGGACTCTGGAGCAGTGGAAACGCGTTCTCTAGAGTGATGAATCACGCTTCACCATCTGGCAGTCTGACGGATGAATCTGGGTTTGGCAGATGCCAGGAGAACGCTACCTGCCCCAATGCATAGTACCAACTGTAAAGTTTGGTGGAGGAGGAATAATGGTCTGGGGCTGTTTTTCATGGTTCGGGCTAGGCCCCTTAGTTCCAGTGAAGGGAAATCTTAATGCTACAGCATACAGTGACATTCTAGATGATATTGTGCTTCCCACTTTGTGGCAACAGTTTGGGGAAGGCCCTTTCCCGTTTCAGCATGACAATGCCCCCGTGCACAAAGCGAAGTCCATACAAAAATAGTTTGTCGAGATCGGTGTGGAAGAACTTGACTGGCCTGCACAGAGCCCTGACCTCAACTCCATCGAACACCTTTGGGATTAATTGGAACGCCGACTGCGAGCCAGGCTTAATCATTTTGGGTTCATTTGATCAGCATTTAGGAAACTGAGGTTAGCTACTACTGTAGTTGTTATCACAGCACAGGGTCATGGAGACTTGGGCCCTGTTGGTCTTGAGATTGTTGCTCTTTGTGCAGACTGGACACAGCAAGCAGTCCTGCCAGCCAGTGACTGTGGACTTTTGTCAAGATGTTGGTTACAACATCTCTTAACACCATCCATATTGGATTTCTATTTGTCATATATTTGTGCTGTGATGTTTCACAAAAGTTCTGAACCTTTCTACAGATTGTAAATTAAAGATAAACATTTTTGCTAAAGTATTATTATATTATTGATCGATTGACTATGACTTTTCAAATCACCCAGTAGTGCTATCTGCTGAGTTAGCTCCAGGTAAATGTTGCAATTCTTCAGCCATTCCTGGACCTGTGACCAAAAACAAGCTACATATGGACAGTACCAAATTAAATCAAGAGGCTGATTAAGCTGCATGGGGACAATAAAAGGCCACTCTAACGTGCAGTTTTGTCACACAACATAATGCCACAGATGTCTCAAGTTGAGAGAGCGTGCAATTGGCATTCTGACTGCAGGAAAAACCACCAGAGCTTTTGCCAGAGAATATGATGTTAATTTCACTACCATAAGCCGCCTCCAACGTCGTTTTAGAGAATTTGGCAGTACATCCAACCGGCCTCACAACCGTAGACCATGTGCATGGCGTTGTGTGGGCCATGTGAAAATGTCAAAAAAAATGTCCATGGTCTGCATACTCACCAGACATGTCAGCCATTGAGCATGTTTGGGATGCTCTGGATCGACGAGTACGACAGCATGTTCCAGTTCTCGCCAATATCCAGCGACTTCGCACAGCCATTGAAGAGGAGTGGGACAACATTCCACAGGCCACAATCAACAGCCTGATCAACTGTATATGAAGGAGATGTGTCGCGCTGCACACCAGATACTGACAGGTTCTGATCCACGCCCCTCCCTTTTTTTAAAGGTATCTGTGACCAACAGATCCATACTGTATTCCCCCATCTGGTTTGCGCTTAGTGGGACTCTCATTTGTTTTTCAACAGGACAATGACCCAAAACACACCTCCAGGCTGTGTAAGGGCTATTTGACCAAGGAGAGTGATGGAGTGCTGCATCAGATGACCTGGCCTCCACAATCACCCAACCTCAACCCAATTGAGATGGTTTGGGATTAGTTGGACCGCAGAGTGAAGGAAAAGCAGTCAACAAGTGCTCAGCATATGTGGGAACTCCTTCAAGACTGATGAAAAATCATTCCTCATGAAGCTGGTTGAGAGAATGCCAAGAGTGTGCAAAGCTGTCATCAAGGCAAAGGGTAGCTACTTTGAAGAATCTAAAATCTAAAATATATTTTGATTTGTTTAACACTTTTTTGGTTACTACATGATTCCATATGTGTTATTTCATAGTTTTGATGTCTTCACTATTATTCTACAATGTAGAAAATAGCCAAAATAAAGAAAAGCCCTTGAATGAGTAGGTGTGTCCAAACTTTTGACTGGTACTGTATTTCAAACTTCAATTAATTTATCATATCTTTGTTTTCTAGACATCAAAATCTATTTGATAATTTTTTAGTATAGTAATTACTAACTTAACAAAAAGCGTCAAACATATATAGTCTCTCAGGGGTTATATCTCTCTTATTTTAATATTGACATTGTCCGTAGTTTGTAATAAATAAAGTATTTTCAGACATTCTGTAATGATGGGAGTGCTGTTAGTCAGGCCATCATTGGGAGGTAGGGATGGAGGGGAAGAGGGGCAGGGATAGGGACTCTGGCTCACCTCTTCTTTGCTGTTGAACTGCGGGTTCGTCGCTGCACTTTCATAGGTGTGGTCTTCATCTCTCTCATGTTCAGTTTTGGCCTCGCTGCTGTCACATTCTTCCTCACCGTCACTCGGGATGGAGTTGGAGGACTGGTGGGTGACGTCTGCTTCAGGGCTCTGGTGGTCGACCTTACTAGTTCCATTTCTTTCGTCTTATGCCGTCTCGACTCTCTCTCTCCTGGGCTCACTCTCTGTCACAGCTCCTGGAGAAGCAGAAGAGACAGCACACACTGCCACAGCGCGAGTTGTAGTCTCGCTGATGGTCTAGGATGCTGGGTCAGATGCTGCGGGCTCACTTTCTCTTTCTCCCTCCTCATCAGGTCTTGGATTAGAGGCTGGACCTCTTCTTACCATGCCCGCGTAGGACACTGGACATTGGAAGAAGGTGTGACCTTCACCTCCACACAGCTGCACATGGCTTCTTCAGTACAGTCTTTTGCTTTGTGGCCCAGGCCAGTGCATTTCCAACATTTAACATTATGACAATCTCTGACCTGATGGTCCAGACTCTGACAGATGTAGCAGCGATGGGTCTGACCTTTATAACTGGCTTTCCCATTGTAGGGACCCATTGCAGTTGAGTTAGGAATCTGTACTTGAAATCCGTTGATTTTCCTCAGACGTACTTTGTACCTTTTGACGCCGTACCAGATCCCGAACTTGTCTAGTGGCTTAAAGAGAGGCTGTAGAATTTCGCAGTACCGGTTTAGGAAAAGCTCTACATCATGGTCCGGAATTCTCCCCGTCCAGAACTTAGCGAAAATGGTCTTTACATCTAGCTCAATAGAGGACTCGAGGACCCAGTCTTTCCACTTTGGATGTGAGGAGTGGGCGGACTGGACCTTCAGGAAACGATGGAGTGGAGGCAGTGGTGTAAAGTACTTAAGTAAAAATACTTGAAAGTACTACTTAAGTACACTGCTCAAAAAAATTAAGGGAACACTAAAATAACACATCCTAGATCTGAATGAATGAAATAATCTTATTAAATACTTTTTTCTTTACATAGTTGAATGTGCTGACAACAAAATCACACAAAAATTATCAATGGAAATCAAATTTATCAACCCATGGAGGTCTGGATTTGGAGTCACACTCAAAATTAAAGTGGAAAACCACACTACAGGCTGATCCAACTTTGATGTAATATCCTTAAAACAAGTCAAAATGAGGCTCAGTAGTGTGTGTGGCCTCCACGTGCCTGTATGACCTCCCTACAACGCCTGGGCATGCTCCTGATGAGGTGGCGGATGGTCTCCTGAGGGATCTCCTCCTAGACCTGGACTAAAGCATCCGCCAACTCCTGGACAGTCTGTGGTGCAACGTGGCGTTGGTGGATGGAGCGAGACATGATGTCCCAGATGTGCTCAATTGGATTCAGGTCTGGGGAACGGGCGGGCCAGTCCATAGCATCAATGCCTTCCTCTTGCAGGAACTGCTGACACACTCCAGCCACATGAGGTCTAGCATTGTCTTGCATTAGGAGGAACCCAGGGCCAACCGCACCAGCATATGGTCTCACAAGGGGTCTGAGGATCTCATCTCGGTACCTAATGGCAGTCAGGCTACCTCTGGCGAGCACATGGGCTGTGCGGCCCCCCAAAGAAATGCCACCCCACACCATGACTGACCCACCGCCAAACCGGTCATGCTGGAGGATGTTGCAGGCAGCAGAACGTTCTCCACGGCGTCTCCAGACTCTGTCACGTCTGTCACATGTGCTCAGTGTGAAACTGCTTTCATCTGTGAAGAGCACAGGGCGCCAGTGGCGAATTTGCCAATCTTGGTGTTCTCTGGCAAATGCCAAACGTCCTGCACGGTGTTGGGCTGTAAGCACAACCCCCACCTGTGGACGTCGGGCCCTCATACCACCCTCATGGAGTCTGTTTCTGACCGTTTGAGCAGACACATGCACATTTGTGGCCTGTTGGAGGTCATTTTGCAGGGCTCTGGCAGTGCTCCTCCTGCTCCTCCTTGCACAAAGGCGGAGGTAGTGGTCCTGCTGCTGGGTTGTTGCCCTCCTACGGCCTCCTCCACGTCTCCTGATGTACTGGCCTGTCTCCTGGTAGCGCCTCCATGCTCTGGACACTACGCTGACAGACACAGCAAACCTTCTTGCCACAGCTCGCATTGATGTGCCATCCTGGATGAGCTGCACTACCTGAGCCACTTGTGTGGGTTGTAGACTCCGTCTCATGCTACCACTAGAGTGAAAGCACCGCCAGCATTCAAAAGTGACCAAAACATCAGCCAGGAAGCATAGGAACTGAGAAGTGGTCTGTGGTCACCACCTGCAAAACCACTCCTTTATTGGGGGTGTCTTGCTAATTGCCTATAATTTCCACCTGTTGTCTATTCCATTTGCACAACAGCATGTGAAATGTATTGTCAATCAGTGTTGCTTCCTAAGTGGACAGTTTGATTTCAAAGAAGTGTGATTGACTTGGAGTTACATTGTGTTGTTTAAGTGTTCCCTTTAATTCTTGGGGTCATAGGCAGCATTCCTCCTCCTCCAAACACGGCGAGTTGAGTTGATGCCAAAGAGCTCCATTTTGGTCTCATCTGACCACAACACTTTCACCCAGTTCTCCTCTGAATCATTCAGATGTTCATTGGCAAACTTCAGACGGCCCTGTATATGTGCTTTCTTGAGCAGGGGGACCTTGCGGGCGCTGCAGGATTTCAGTCCTTCACGGCGTAGTGTGTTACCAATTGTTTTCTTGGTGACTATGGTCCCAGCTGCCTTGAGATCATTGACAAGATCCTCCCGTGTAGTTCTGGGCTGATTCCTCACCGTTCTCATGATCATTGCAAATCCACGAGGTGAGATCTTGCATGGAGCCCCAGACTGAGGGAGATTGACAGTTATTTTGTGTTTCTTCCATTTGCGAATAATCGCACCAACTGTTGTCACCTTCTCACCATGCTGCTTGGCGATGGTCTTGTAGCCCATTCCAGCCTTGTGTAGGTCTACAATCTTGTCCCTGACATCCTTGGAGAGCTCTTTGGTCTTGGCCATGGTGGAGAGTTTGGAATCTGATTGATTGATTGCTTCTGTGGGCAGGTGTCTTTTATACCGGTAACAAGCTGAGATTAGGAGCACTCCCTTTAAGAGTGTGCTCCTAATCTCAGCTCGTTACCTGTATAAAAGACACCTGGGAGCCAGAAATCTTTCTGATTGAGAGGGGGTCAAATACTTATTTCCCTCATTAAAATGCAAATCAATTTATAACATTTTTGACATGCGTTTTTCTGGATTTTGTTGTTGTTATTCTGTTTCTCACTGTTCAAATAAACCTACAATTAAAATTATAGACTGATCATGTCTTTGTCAGTGGGCAAACGTACAAAATCAGCAGGGGATCAAATACTTTTTTCCCCTCACTGTACTTTTTACTCCATACATTTTCCCTGACACCCAAAAGTATTCGTTACATTTTGAATGCTTAGCAAGACAAGAAAATTGTCTAATTCCCACACTTTATCAAGAGAATATCCCTGGTCATCCCTACTGCCTCTGATCTGGCGGACTTACTAAACACATGCTTCGTTTGTAAATTATGTCTGAATGTTGGCGCGTGCCCCTGGCTATCTGTAAATTTAAAAAACAAGAAAATGATGCAGTCTGGTTCGCTTAATAAGGAATTTGACACTTTACTTTTAATACTTAAGTATATTTTCACAATTATATGTATTTTTTATACTTAAGTATATTTAAAACCAAATACTTTAAAACTTTTACTCAAGTAGTATTTTACTGGGTGACTTTCACTTTTACTTGAGTCATTTTCTATTAAGGTATCTTTACTTTTACTCAAGTATGACAATTGGGTACTTTTTCCACCACTGAGTGGAGGTTATACCTGCTCAGGTCATAGCCTCCTCAGTCTCTCTCCAAATGGAAAAGAGTGATGGAGTGCGTGGTCAGAAGTGAGTGATGTTGTTATTGAAACTTGTGTGCAGTTCGCCTTTATAAAACCATAAAATCACTCAGAAGTGAAATCAATAATTTTCTTGATTCATACCTTGTTCTATTACTCTGGTTTTCCCATGGAGAGTGTATGTGGACCTACAGCGTGAAATGCTGATAATACTCACTACATTTTCCTGAACTGTCCCCAAGACCTAATAAGAAAACAACCAATCATCGGAGGTGTATTCCACACATATATGGACGCGTTTATTACTCTCTTTCACATACAGAGAAGATTTCTCGCAGCTATAGTTAATTTTGCAAAGCACCAGGCACTCTTTGGGATATCTTGATTAGCATGATGAATAGTAAAGACTTTCAACAGTGACAGAACATCCAGAGGTGACATGGGTTTATAGGCACACCTAGTGGTTATAGTTTGCTAATATTCCAGTTTCCTATGGTAATGTTATAATTTTATAGTAACTTCCTATTTCAAAACCATTAATGTGGAATGTGACAATTAGGTTTTAGTCATGTTTGTATAAAAGCAATCAAAACAATAAAGTGATTTGTGAGTATCAAAAATACATGTCAGGAAAGAATTAACATGCTAAATTTTTCAGATTATGGTATGAGTCCAAAAAAAATTCTGCTCTGTCTCTTCATGTGCACATCGTGCACTGGATGAACTGAGAGTGAGAAAGAGAGTGAGAGCGAGAGAGAGAGAAAGAGAAAGAGAGAGATTATAATACTTTACATTTAAACCGGGGCCATTTACAGTGCATACAAAAAGGAAGAGGATATGAAAAAAAAAAAAGACTTACATCATCGTATGGAAATGTGGCCATTCCCTGTCCAGCTTGGTCCCGCTTCCGGAACAAATCTGTAGCAAACATACAGAGATAATGGTCAAACAATGATAAAAAACAACACATACAACGGTCATACTGATAATGGACAAACTGATTAAAACAGTCCACTCACCAGTCAGGGTTCTGAGTTTTACACAACAAGCTACGTAGTCATCAAAGGTGATCTTCCCCTGAGAACTGAATCTCTTGATGATGCCGTTCATGGCTTGTGGGCTCAGCCTGTAGCCTGTAACACACAAACATACATGTCAAATTAACATTTCTCTCTCATATTGACTCTATTGATCATCACTTATTGTGTACACACATACAGCGGGCTCCAAAATTACTGGCACCCCTGACTGGCAATGCACAAACAATACTTAAATTTTTTTAAACAATATAATTTTAGAGATAAACTCAAAATACCAACATGTGAGAAATACTGTACTTTATTAATGTTTCAATGGAACCAACCAAAATACCAAAATAAATGTCACCAAAATCAAGGTTTCATAATTATTGGCACTCCTCATTTAGTACTTAGTGCAACCACCTCTGGCAAGGATAACAGCATGGAGTCTTTTCCTGTAATGTTTGACAAGGTTAAGGAACACATTTGGAGGGATTTTGGACCATTCCTCTATGCAGATCCTTTCAAGATCCTTCACATTCTTGGGTTTGTGCTTATCAACTGCCCTCTTCAACTCAGCCCACAGATTTTCGATTGGATTGAAGTCCAGTGACTGAGATGGCCATGGCAGAACATTGATTTTGTTGTCACATAACCATTTATGTGTGGATCTTGAGGTATGTTTTGGGTCATTGTCTTGTTGGAAAGTCCACCTACGGCTAAGTCCCAGCCTTCTGGCAGAGGCAACCAGATTGTCAGCCAAAATTGCCTGATACTTGGTGGAATTCATTATGTCATCAGTCTTAACCAGTGCTCCTGGACCTCTGGAATTAAAACAGCCCCACCATCATATTTCACCATGGCTATGAGGTGCTTCTCCTTGTATGCATCTCTGTTTCGACGCCAAACATGCCGATGCTGTATCTGACCAAAACGTTCAATTTGGGTCTCATCTGACCAGAGCACCTTCTTCCAGTCATAATTTAAATTATGTTTGGCAAACTCCAAGCGCTTGCGTCTGTGTCTTGGGGTCAGAAAGGGCTTTCTTCTGGCAACCCTTCCAAAGAGCCTATGGTTGTGGAGGTGGCGTCTGATGGTGCTTTGTGAAACCCCAAGACGCCACCAAGGCCTGCAATTCTTTCACAGTGATTCTTGGGGATTTTGTTGCTTCTCTCACCATCCTCCTCCCCAGTGGCGGTTTTACACGGAGGCCGGGGGAGGCCCGTGCCTCCCTGGAAATGTCCCTGGCCACCCCTGTGCCCCCCCCCGTGCTGACCAAATAAAAAATTATGAATTTATAACTATTTTACACGCGAGCGCCAAAAGCGGAACTAATGCAACGCTCTACACGGCAACGTTCTACACGGGTAAATTAGAGTGGCGCACCCAAAAACTGTATCCTGCCATCTGCCTGCCTGCCACGTGTGGTGCTGCTTCGGTGAATGAGAGCTCAGCAACTACTATTTGCGAGAGGAGCTACGATTTGCAGGAGTCGAAGGTAAGAAAAAACGATTTAATATCATAAGTGACTTGTTGTTCTTGCACATAGCCTACATGTTCCTTTTGTTCCTCACACATAAATCAAATCAAGTTTTTAAATGTCTGGTCTCGATTTGTTTAGAAATGTAATCATATCTAAGCAAACTCATCGAAGCAGAAGCAAATATCCAAATGTTAGTAGGCTATCCTTGCTAGGTCTACACAATGTTGTGATGTTAACCACGTAACTTCATCCGTCTTGGCTGTTGCATCGCGATAACAAATACATTTTTAGTAAAGTAATCAACAGGTTATCTGCCAGTGTTAAGTAGGGAGGGATGGTTAGGTAACAAAATGTAATGCATTCCCCTACGTTTTTTCTTCTTCTAATAGTTATCATGAAACGAGGAAGGGACATAAAGTCATTTTTTGCCCCAGCAAACAAAAAAGTGAGAGAAACAAATCGAGGTTTTGAGAAAGTTGAGGAAGAGGGAGAGCCAGCATGTGATGAAAGTGAGGGGTCTGACAAAGAGAGGGAAATTCCAGAGGGTGAGGAGGATGAAGAAGAGGGTGAGGAGGATGAAGAAGAGGGTGAGGAGAATGAAGAAGAGGGCGAGGAGAATGAAGAAGAGGGTGAGAAGCATGAAGAAGAAAGCATACAGGGACAGAGAGATGAACAGCCAGAGGGACAGCAAGTGGATCCATGTGGATCAAGTACTGCACCATCAGGTTTGTGATGAGGAAGGTTCTTACTATTTGCAAAGCAATGCAATTACAATGTAATGGTAGGCCTGCTGGGTGTCCTTAAAATGCTGCTTTCTGATGTTAATTCTTTTTTGTGTCAATATGGCTCTGTTTTTTTTTTTAAGTAAATACTTTGCCTACATTTTGAAATACATGCAGATATACAGTAAATAAATGTTGTAGTTGTGCCCTATGTTTACTGTCCATCTTCTTCAGATATCAGCAAGTCTAAGTATGACGTACCAGTACAGCCGAACTTGAAGATATTCCCAACCACACTGATGGGGGACAGAAGACGAAGCTTCAGACCAAACTGGTACACTACTCATCCATGGCTTGAGTATTCTGTAATGACGGACTCTACATGTTGCTATGCATGTAGACATTTTAGCACACCAAATGCCCCAGACACCGTTTTTGTTTCAACACCTGGTTTTACAAACTGGAAAAAGGCAACTATGAGAAATGCAGGGTTTTCACTACATGCAAAGTCTGAACGACACAAGTGTGCAATGATCGCATGGAGGGATTATCAAAGAGCTGTTAGAACTGACGCAACACTAACAGATCTCCTTGACAAAGAACACACTAAACAAGTACAAGAAAATCAGGCATACATTAAAACAGTTGGGGAAGTGCTGTTGCTTACAGCTACACAAAACATAGCACAAAGAGGACATGATGAATCTGAAGGGTCCACTAACAAAGGAAACTTTAGGGAAATTCTTAACACAGTTGCTAACCACGACCAACTTGTTAAGAGAAGATTAACTTCCATTCACAATGCAAAGTACACAAGCAAGATCATCCAGAATGAGGTTTTGGGTTGTTTGGCAGAAATGGTTCGGTCTGAAATCATAGAAGAAGTGAAGAAAAGTGAGGTTTTTAGCGTCATGGCAGATGAAACAAAGGATATTTCAAAAAAAGAACAGATGTCCTTCACACTCAGGTACTATTACAATGGGGCCATTAAGGAGAGTTTTCTCCATTTTGAATCTGCAGAGAGGTTAGATGCAGCAGGGCTTACTGGAAAAATAGTACACTTACTGGAACGTTATGGCCTGGACTACAAAAATAACCTCGTAGGCCAAGCGTACGATGGCGCTGCCGTTATGAGCGGTAAGCATTCAGGGGTTCAGGCAAGGATCAAAGAACAGGCTAAATTTGCCTTCTACGTCCATTGTAGTGCTCATTGTCTGAATTTAGTGTTAGTTGATGTAGTCAAAAGTGTCCCAGAAACGGAGGAGTTTTTTTTCTTTGTTACAGAGTCTTTATATGTTTACTTCTTCCTCATATGTGCACCCAAAATGGCTGTCTCTCCAAAGAGAAATGTATGGCAGAACCAGAGAGCTGCAACGTTTAAGCGACACACGTTGGTCATGCCGATTTCTAGCCCTATGTAATATCATGGACACTCTACCTGCCCTTAAAAGACTACTGCAAGAGATTGCTCAAGAACGTCATGGTGAAAGAACTGTTGAGGCCCGAGGTCTTCTTGCTCAAATTGACCTAGAATTTGTTGTGCATCTTGTTACTCTGCGTAAGTTGTTTGGGGAGACAAAGCTATTGTCTGACATGTTACAGTCACAAACTGTTGATCTGTCAAGTGCTGTTGACTTAGTAAATGCTTTAGTCCTGACATTGAAAGACCACAGGCAGGAGTCTTTCTTTGATGAGTTGTGGGATGAAGCATTGAATATTTGTGAGCAGTGTGATTCTGCAACAAGGTCAGTGGCGAAACGTCAGAAAATGCTGAGCTCTAGACTCAGTGGCTACTGCATGCTAAGCACTGTTGGTCAGAGGGAGGTAGAACGTGACAAAGATATGTTTCTCACATCATTTTTCTATCCTGTAATTGACAGCATGCTCAATGAGTTGAACAGACGTTTCTCCAATACAAACTGTGAGCTCATGAGAAGCATACAGTCTCTCAGTCCCCAGAGTGATACCTTTTTAAAGGAGAGCAATGTTTTTTCATTTGGCCGTTTGTATAATGCAGACATTGATGATTTAGGGCATGAGCTCCATCAATTTAAGAGAGTTTTGGACAGAAAAATACAGAGTGGTGAAGTCAAAAAGCCATGCAGTACAGTTGAGCTGGTTTGTTTTATTGAGCCATACAGGGAAGTTTTCTTTGAGCTCTTTAGACTGTGCAAGATTGCTGTAACCCTTCCTGTAAGCTCAGCCTCTTGCGAACGCAGTTTCTCCACACTGAAACTGATAAAAACCTTCCTGCGGTCCACCACTAGTGATGAGAGACTCAGTGATCTTGGTGTCCTGAGCATAGAGTCCAGAAGGGCCAAGGCTCTGGATCTTGATGTATTTGTGGACCGTTTTGCCAGACAGCACAACCGCCGTATCCTGTTGCTGTAGTGTATCTATATGATATATACGCTAGTAGCGTATGAGTGCCGCTGTGAGGAAAAAGAGATATAATGAACAATAAAACAACAAGCTTGAGCTTCTTAAGACACGGTGGGTTTATCTGTTCTCAATACCACCGGTAAAATGAATGGAGTTAGTCTGGTGTCCACATGAAGTTATGTGTGTAGACAAAGAGTCTGGTGTCCATATGAAGTTACATGTGTAGACAGAGACAGTCTGGTGTCCATATGAAGTTACATGTGTAGACAGAGACAGTCTGGTGCCCATATGAAGTTAAATGTGTAAACAAAGACAGTCTGGTGTCCATATGAAGTTACATGTGTAGACAGAGACAGTCTGGTGCCCATATGAAGTTACATGTGTAGACAAAGAGTCTGGTGTCCATATGAAGTTACATGTGTAAACAGAGACGGTATGGGGTCCATATGAAGTTAGATGTGTAGACAAAGACAGTCTGGTGTCCACATGAAGTTACATGTGTCTACTTAGATGAACCCACCGTGTCTTAAGAAGCTGAAGCTTGTTTTATTTTTCATTTTACATCATCTATCTTTTTTTCCTCACAGTACCAGTAGTTCCACACACTACTAGAGTGTATGTATGTTTGTATGTATGTATATATATCCCACCAATCATCTCTCAAGAGGTTTTCAAAAAGGGGCAAACTCATGTCTCAAGACCTGCTTCTGTTGGTTCCCCTCTCCTGCCTGTAACTTTCCATCCACATCCCCAAAGTTGTGTGGCCCATTATGACATCACTCCATTAAGTGATTGCTGCATGTACTGCTCTAAGGAAACACCTCTCTCTCTCTCTCTCTCTCTCTCTCTCTCTCTCTCATGATTTTATTCTTTTGAATTATCTCTGCCAAACATCTATGTACTACAAATCTTCAAGCTCCACAGATGTTTTATGGCATCCACTAAACCTCTTTAGATATTTGTAAATTATACAGTGTGATACCTTTCAACGAAAGTTTATTTTATTTTTTACCAACTATGATTTTTCCTTTTGAAAACAAGCAAAGCAAGAAAAAAAAGAAACAAAATCACTCCAATCATTGCACACTTGTGTCGTTCAGACTTTGCAGGTCCAGCTTTGACATGATGATCTAACTAACACTAATATTGTAACTAATATTGTAACTGAAATATGTATGATCCTATGATGAGCGATTGCTTACTTCCCTTTCACTCTTAAAAAAATTACTGAAAAAAAATGTGTATAAAAAGGTATATGTAGTATATGTTTGTTTAGTGAGCATTCATGCTGTCATTTTTTCCTAATGTGAACTATGGTGGAAATGTGCTGTCCTAAATGGACTTGCCCATATATGTTGTAAAGCCTTTTTTTGTACACCTGCTCATCAACTGACAGTGAAGTACACAAAGACACAGACACACACACACACACACACAGACACCTGTAATATTCTTGTTTTCATGTTGTTGCTGATATCCATCAGTGTTGTTCATATTGCTACATTGTGTTGACATGATTGTTGCTTTTAAACGAATGTTAACTTAATGTTTATTGTCTGTATCCTATTGGACTACTGGATGTTAATGTGTAACACGTTTCCCTGTTTATGTGCTTTAGCAATACTGTATGTCAATATGGTCATGCTAGTAAAGCCTCTTTGAATTGAATTTCTTTTCTGATTTGGTTTATTTTACCTAAATGGATACAGGGTAGTGTGTTTTGTTTATAAATCACTCAGAAAGTTTTCTTTCTTAAAACAAAATGTGGAATCAACTGTCCACAGTAGTGGGGCTTCCATAAATAGGAAATGGCACATTGTTGTACCCTTTGTTGTATCCTGGAGTTTTGTTCACATTGAATATGAACCCTGTATTTGTACCCTGTACTTTTAATTTTTTTTAATTTTATTTATTTTTTCATTTTTATGCCACTATCTCTCTTGCATCTGCACTCTTGTACAAAATACGTGTTATAATAAATGTCATATGATTTTAAAGTAAAATAAAGTTTATAATCTTTGAATATCATGTGTTGCCAGTTTTTTTATGTGTGCCCCCCTGATTAAACACTGGCCCCTCCTTGGCCCCCCTAGTAAAATGTGTCTAGAACCGCCACTGCTCCTCCCTATCCTGGGGGGCAAAATGCATTTGCATCCTCTGCCCGTTAGGTTTTCAACGGTTCCATATCTTTTTTTTTATTTTTTATAATTGCCCTGACAGTGCTCAGTGGTATATTAAATTATTTGTGGATCTTCTTGTAGCCATTACCAGATTTATGAAGGTCTACGACCATCTGTCTCTTTTGAACTGACAGTTTTTTTATTTTCTTAATATATATAATATAATAATATAATAATAATAATAATATATAATAATAATAATTTTCTTCATGGTGTTGGATGACAAAGAGATATTGCATGCGTGTTACCTCATTTTTATACCCTAGTGAAACAAGAAGTGATGTAATGGCTCAATATAGTTCCTTAAGGCTAAGATAAACTTAAATAAGTGGAATTGAATTCCTGGTTTAATTTTGGTAGATGTTATTTACAATAATCTTTAAGGGTGCCATTAATTGTGAAACAATGATTTGGAGGACATTGATTTTTTATTAAATCAATAAATGATTTTGCTGGGTTCCATTGGAACATTAATATAGTCCAGTATTTCTGTATGTTTATATTTTTTTAAGTATTGTTTGTGCATTGCCAGTCAGGGGTACCAGTAATTTTGGAGCCCACTGTATAAACAAATACACCCTTTGTGCTTGTACGTACCCATAGAAGTGACTGCCTGGTGCATCTCCTGGGGGTCCACGGTCCCACTCTGGTCACGGTCAATGGACATGAAGTGTTGTTTCCAGCCGTTGAGCACTGTCCACAGCTCCTTGAACTCATTGAAGCCCATAGTACAGGACATGTCTCTCTGAGGGGTTGCTTCAGTCAAGGAACAGAAACAGCAGTGACCTCGCAACCTTACCTCTAACCTCAAACATGAATATAGACGGCTAAAGGTTTTCTGAATAATTTCAATGTCCTGATTTTATTGTCCTGATTTATCTAGTAGTTTTTTTTCCAATTCAAGACATTGCTGTGGAACACAATGTGAGAGGACTTTCTGCAAACTCTCAGCGCACAAAACACTGTCACTTATGCATATTCCACCTCATATTATTGTACTGGTAGCTAGTGTGACCATAGTATTTTAACAACCTGTGTGTCTGTACTGACTGGTTAGTCAAGGATACATCCAGCATGTTGATCATCAGTCTGCAGGTCTCCAGGTTAAAAGCTGTCAGAGATAAGATAACAGTTAATCAAACCACAGTCAGCGCTCCATATAGTATAAAGAATAGAATTAAACAAAATATTGCATTGAAAAATGGCTGGGAATTAGTGGTTCCCTTCGGTCTTGTACATGGTGTTAACTCTTACGTTTGTAGCCACCAGAGAAGTTAGCCTGTGTGAGGCATTGCTGGAGCTCTTCCGCTGATATGTGCCCGTCCTTCCAATGTCAAAAGATGGAGGGGAAAAAATACTTATTGAGACCGAAACAATGCTTTACATTTTTAGACTACAGTATGCTGTTTTGACTGTGTTGAGATTAGCAGATAGCTTAATATGTTAAACTATAAGCCTTATTACCTGGCCTGCAACAGCAGCAAAAAATCCATAGAGAGGGTCTTGCTGCTGACCAGGGTATCCTCCAAAACCAGGGCCACCAGGAGGGTGGCCACCAGCAGGGGCACCTCCATACTGTGAGACAGACAATGATTTAGAGAGAGAGAGAGAACAGTAAACACTATAAGGTTACTATGAAACAGTTAGTGACAACATAGGTCAGGTGCCATGCAAGTGAACATCCCAATGACCCACTCTGAACCACCTAACCAATAGCCTTTAGACAACAGATAATCATGTCTCAAATCAGTGCATTGCCAACTTGCTCTGCAGAGGTCAAGGGGCTGAGAATGATTTCATATAGATTGTTTACTGCAATCAGTAGGTGTCAAACTGTACTTCGGCCAGCAACAACAAGACAGCGAGTCCCAGCTATTACGTGAACCTGACCATTCCCAGGGTTGGGTGAAATGAGTCAATCCAAAATCAGTATTTCCATCGATTTACACGCTACTGAACTGATTATACAAAGTGTAGGCCCTATAATCCATCATAGTATAGATAACATTGTAACATTTGCCCTTGGTGTAACCTTTTGATCAACTCAGATTGTTACATTGTAAGAGAGTCTCTGTTGTATCGAGCAAGGCCATCACGTTTATTCGTCTCCCGGAGCAGAGGCGAAAGCGCATCAAGCATAAAATGCCTACTACGACTTGCCCACGGCAGCGATTCATTGGCAGGCAGGCCTACAAATTGTATTAGATACAACAAATAGTCTACTGTATTCGGAAAACACTGTGCAATATACGCTTGTTATATTATGTAGGATATTATGCCCATTTGCAGTTCTACTTCCGGACAACTAAGCGTTCCTACCCATACCCATTTATCTTCATGTTTGTGTAGAAGAAACGTGTCTAAGATCTTACCCCTCCAGGGTATCCGCCTGCGGGAGCACCATATCCCGGATAACTCATTTCTATGAATTAAAAGAATAACACTGTGATAGAAACTGGCAATAAATAATCCCCTTCCCTGACTTGCCCTGCCCTGCTTTACACAAGGGGAGTGTCGGATGTCCTGCTTTACAATAAACAATGGGAGGGATTCATTTGAGTTTTAGGCTGTTGTCTTTGGGAACCTTTATTTGGAGTAAAAGAGTAGATGTAGTTGAACAAAAGTCAAAGTATAAACGTTTACCAGAGTATGTTTTGTTCAAATGAAATTAACACTCGAGGAAGTAAATGGTATATTCCAGGCACCATTCCAGTGTTCTGTTTCATTGACGTTCATCATCTCTAAAACCCGAGGTCAGCGCACTATTCCCTGATTGGCCTTGCATTAACATGTGACCGGCTGCCTGCCAATCATGTGATAATAAAACTTGTCAACGAAGATAAATGCAACGCTGACTGCATTTCTCAAAGTAATAAAATAGATAGTAGTACTTATAGTAATAGATTTGCATAGTGCCGACTTTAAAAATAATTTTTACACAAGTGAATATGATGCCAAATTGTGAATTGTCTCAATTGTTACTGTCTTACTATTGTGCTAAACAACATTATTTTCACCAGGCCAGCCATTGCATCGTGTATTGTATTTTGTGTATATGCGTGAGTGTGCACATGTTCCTAATGCTACTGCACAGCATTAACTGTCCCAAAGGCTAATAATGTTGTATTGAATTTGTGGTATGAACAGAATAGCTTTTTGTCAAATGTTCTTAGGTTCTCTCCTTCTCTCCTTTGTCCCTTGTGTCTTCAGATGGCCATGGCCTCACCCAAGAGTGTGTTCAGAACCGCTGGGGCTGGGCTGGTACAGAGAGTCCCTTTGGCCCTGTCCACACAGACCTAGTTAGCATCCAAAGCCAGAGTGACACAAGGCAGGAGGCCCCTGAAATGTGGATGGATGTCCCCCCACACCTGCCCTCCTTGGGTGCTGCTGATGGAGAAGAATCATCCCAGCATTATTTAGGCAGTCATTGGGGGAGCCACAGGACAGAGGGCCATGGTTGTGTTTGTATGCATGGACCAAGAAGATGTTGCCACAGTTGGGCTGGTTCCCCTCTCTTCAATTTCGGAGGTAAGTGTGTATGTGTCTGTTCATGTGAAAGAGGGTAATTATTCTCTATGATGATGATCCAGTATGGCTGCGATGTAGTATTTTCCTCTAATCAAATACTTCTGTTTCCCAGTGAGGAAGACAATGATGGTAGGAGTCGAGGTGGAAATAGTGGAGGAAGTAGCCTATGAGGACACAGAGACACTTGAAGTAATGTAAGTATTTAAATGATTCAAGGTCATTGTTAATTTACACATTGTTGACGCACATAAACATGAAGTATGGCTATGCAGTAGCCTAATGTTTTTATGTATTTATTTTTAGATCAGAAGGAGTGTATCCAAATTATTTGATGGAACCCATATTGCTGCACGATGACCAGCTTTCCCCCACCTAAACCAGCATTATTTCAAAAGTTGTTTGCAATTGAACTTTAACTGTGTTTTTAAATGTCAGCCTTGTCTTTTGAATGTCTTTTAAATGTATTTAAATGTAGTTTAAATATAAAAATGTATTTTACAATTTAATTATTTTTTACCCAATAAAATAAGAAAAACTTTGCTTGTTGTCTTGATTTGAACTTATAATGAAGATATATTATATGTAACTTCCAAGACCTTCTGACAGTCTACACCTGCTTTGTCCATCCAGTGCTCCGCTCAAGTATGGCACCCAGGTCTCACAGCCCACCAACACAACCAACTTCAGAAGATCCAATGACATGCAACCAAAATCATCATGGGCACAACCTACACCTCCTATGACTCTGAGTGCATTGACCTGGGCTTGCAGTCCTTGTAGTCCCGCCGCACCCACCTCTGCTGATCCTTTGCCCAAAAGCTTGCAAAATCTCAGCAACGAGTAGCTGCCTCAGATGAAAGGTCATGTCAGTGGCAGATCTACCTGATCCAGTCACAAACTGAACCTTCCCCCTACTCAGACTGACATATACTACAACAGCCCTATACCTTACTTTGTGAAACTGCTTAATACTGCTTAACTGTAATATTGTATACTACATCTCATATTTTTTATTTGATTTACTTACTTACTTACGTAGGCCTATGTATGCTGCAATTCAGCTTTTAGCTGCAAATGTGTATAATAAAAAAATTAACCTTAAATATATAGATACTTCAATTACCAGAATGGCTTACGTCATCTACATGCGCCACACAGCCTACCGTAGTCAGAATGCGACAGTGGCGCTGAACAGTGTTCGAAAATCCCCATATCCAATATAGGTTGAACATTAACTAGGAAAATGTTAGCAAAAACCTTTTCAATGTAACACAATTTTGATTTTTGCTTGACTACGACATGTGCGACTCACCTGAAAATCAAACGCTCCAGGCTCGTCTGCGAAGTTTGGAAGAGTTGACCGAGTTCACCGAGAACTGCCATAGACAACTGAATGAGCTGTTGGAAACGCTGGGATGGAGACAGGACCTGGACAACGGCTCAGTTCAGGTAGGTAGGAAGCTAGTTAGCTATATTTTTTCAACTGCTCAGATTCCAGGGGTGGTTCACCTAGCCCTGAAAGCGCGGCGTCCTTTATAGGGCTAGTTTACACCAGAATCAATGTTTTCATGACGTTACCTGAGCTAATAATACATATTTAAAATGTGCACCATCTGTTGTGTATGTGTAATGCAATGATGTCATGTCATAGTATTATGAAGACAGAGGAAGAGTTAAGAGATGAGTGGTTTGGGGCCATGAAGTCTACATTCCTTATGTCAAGGTAGATTAGTGATGTTTAGAATAGCATGAGTGATGGGCAGTATAGTGACTTGGGGGTAAGGGTGATGAACATCAAAGACAGGTAGTGCCCATGGAGACTTGCCAGATGTATGCCAGGAGGAGGGTAATAAAGGGTATATAAGGTAGAGTGTCTTCTTTGTTCAAGTTAGTTCGTAACATCAAGGGCAAAGCTCTGGTCATTGTTGTAACGAACCCAGTACCGATCATTAAATATTTGCATTAACTTTCTACAAAGTGTCTCAGTATATCCTTGCATCCTTGATTCTTTGAACACCCGAGAAACTCATCATAACATGTAGTTAGTTCGATATAAGGCCTCCAAATGAATGGGAAAACCATAAATGATGGGCGATTCATTAAGTCTCCGTACACATGCATGCTACAACAAACAGAGAGGAGATTATAACTTGTAAATGTTCTTCCACAGGAGCCGATGGAGGTGTGCCCCTATGACCCGAACCACAGAGTGCCAAGCAGGAGCATGGAGAGACACAAAGCCACCTGCCAACTCAGCCAGATGGGCTACTCCCATGAGGAACAGGTTAAAGAGCTATACTGTATCACATACGCACACACCACACACACACACTCAACTGAAATATCAACTGAGCCATCAACATCTTTTGATGTAGCTTGTCATTAGGGTAAGGAGTTATTCCGGACCATAGGGCTAGACCTAGAAAAACTGGACCCTATAACTAGAGCAGACCAAAGTTATTTCTGGTGAGGTCAAATGATCAGGAAAAACTATCCACCCTAATGATACAACAACCTTATCTGTTATTATGTTCTTAAAAGCTTTTATAAAACGTTAACTCCTTTCCTTTCCCAAGGCTGAGATGTATGACCCCTCTGTGTGTTATGAGAATGCCAACATTACCAGCTTCACAATGGGTGAGTGTCACACTATTCCACTGCAAAGTGAATCTCAACTTAATGTAGTAGTCACAATTCCCTGAACTGACCCAGGGTGGGGGAGCCCACTGCTTGTCTCACATCTTTCTTTGTGTTCTGCCTCACCTGTAGACAAACACACACAACAACAAGTGATTCTTCAAGCAAGAGCAAGTGCACCACCAATTAGGACAGAGGGACTGTACAGCCAAAGTAAGATCATTACACCCCTACACTTGTGTTAGGTCACTGATAAAACCCTATGCTTGTATTCATGGCTATCAGCATTAGTTCGACTCTGTGGTAGACATGTCCCACAAAATATTTATGCTTTTATTCTGGAGAAGCAATTAATGGTCATTTCACCAAAGAGCAACCAATGGTACAATTTTTTTTACGAAGTTCGTAGGTCTTCAGTGCCTTGCCCATGTCTAAAAAGGTCTCAATTAACATACATTAATTCATTATAAACACGGCTAAATATGGTGGCTGTTGTTTTTTCTTTTATTATATAGTTTCTTTGAGTTTGTCATCTGTATGTGTTCTGTGTTTTGTTTTCAGTGACAGGGGTGAGTAATAACAGGAGGTTCTTCCCTCGTTCAGGCTTACTGATTACGTGCAGTATCCTTTAATGCCATATCCTTTCAAACATGCTGCCTCTGTTGGCGGCATTACACACGTGCACGCGTACACACACATTTTCCCTGTACGTGTTGGGGAAAGTCATTTACTCTTTTCTAACCCTTTCATACTGAAGGTGTGAGTGATCATCTCAATGTGTTCTTAAAAGCTTTTGAATTAGTGACTTGTCATGACTCTCTGTACTCTGTGTGATAGTGTTGTAGCATGTGAGTGTGTGTAAAGCCCTTTTCATTGTGCTGCAGGTGAATACTCCACAGACCCTTCAGAAGTTCCTCAGAACCACAAGCGAGCTATCTGTGACCTTACTATGGCAGACCGATTGGCTCTTTTCGATCACGTGACAAGGGAGGCCAGCCAACAGAAGGATCAAGCTGGAGCAACTAACAACGAGGACCTCTATGTTGATTTGGTGGCCAAGCTCAAAAAGGGTAGGCCTATAAACATTAACTATTGAGATCAGTAGGATGGTTTAAGCCAATTTTCCTATGAATTACTCCTCTAAAGCCATTCCACTGAGTCTGTTGTGTTTGTTTCTGTTCTCTAGGTAACGATCAGAACGAGCACAAGTCTCACCTGGAGCTGATGGCTGAGATGAGGGACTACAAGAGACGTCGGCAGTCTTACAGAGCCAAGAACGTACACAATACCAAGAAGTCCTACACTGAGGTGTGTGGGGATGTGACTGTTTCAATAGAATGTTAATGGCTGTACTTTACTTTGAGATGTGTGTGTGTTATATCTGGTTATGTTTTTCATGAATCGTGCAGGTGATTCGGGAGGTGATTAATGTCCACTCTGTTGAACTGTCCAGTCAGTGGAAAGAGGAGAGGAAGGAGGAGGTTAGAGAGTCCAAACATGCCCCTCACAGGTAATCCAACCATTGTCTTCTCACCTACGTGATGCCTCATACAAAATCCAATTAGTACTGTAATACTCATCTGAGGAGCATGTGGATTTAAAAAACCCGGGACCGTTTTGTCTCTCAGGAGAATGTCTGAGGACAGGCGCTCTGCCTCCACAGAGTCCCGCCAATCTCACGTCAGCTCCAGGGACGGACACGGCTCCCACCACAAACGCCACCGTAACACAGAGCGCAGCAAAGACCCCAGCCCAGAGCAGAGCCAGGAGCGCAGCCGAGAGAAGGAGAGCAAGAGGAAGAGAAAGAGGTGAGTCAGAGAGTAGTGGCTTGCATTCACATCTGACAGTGTTTAATTGTATGAAGTCACCATCAAGGTTGTTTGCAGACATTCAGTGGTTGATGAATGCTTTGGCTGTATACATGTTTGATAGGTTTTTACCTGTTGGTGAATTGAATGTGTGTTGGCATTCACAGGGATTCCCGGTCCCCGGATGAGAGACCTCATGATCGAAAGAAGAAAAAGAAGAAGAAGAAAAAGGAAGAGAAGTGATTTTCAAGTTTAGTACCTTGGTTTAGAAAACCAGAGAGATTAGGTCAAGGAGCCAACCAAAGCTACGTTCCAATGTTCATAATAGCATACCACTTAGAATGCGTGCCTTCATACTATAGTGGCTTGCGAAAGTATTTTGTTGCCTTACAACCTGGAATTAAAATTGATTTTTTTGGGGGGTTTGGATCATTTGATTTACACAACATGCCTACCACTTTGAAGATGCAAAATCTTTTTTATTGTGAAACAAACAAGAAATAAGACAAAAAAACAGAACTTGAGCGTGCATAACTATTCGCCTCCCTCCCCAAAGTCAATACTTTGTAGAGCCACCTTTAGCAGCAATTACAAGTCTCTTTGGGTATGTCTCTAGGTACTGGGATTTTTGCCCATTCTTCAAGGCAAAACTGCTCCAGCTCCTTCAAGTTGGATGGGTTCCACTCGTGTACCACAGATTCTCAATTGGATTGAGGTCTGGGCTTTGACTAGGCCGTTCCAAGACATTTAAATGTTCCCCTTAAACCACTCAAGTGTTGCTTTAGCAGTATGCTTAGGGTCATTGTCCTGCTGGAAGGTGAACCTCTGTCCCAGTCTCAAATCTCTGGAAGACTGAAACCGGTTTCCCTCAAGAATTTCCCTGTATTTAGCGCCATCCATCATTCCTTCAATTCTGACCAGTTTCCCAGTCCCTGCCGATGGAAAAACATCCCCACAGCATGATGCTGCCACCACCATGCTTCACTGTGGGGATGGTGTTCTCGGGGTGATGAGAGGTGTTGGGTTTGCGCCAGACATAGCGTTTTCCTTGATGTCCAAAAAGCTCAATTTTACCTTCTTCCATATGTTTGGGGAGTCTCCCACATGCCTTTTGGCGAACACCAAACGTGTTTGCTTATTCTTTTCTTTAAGCAATGGCTTTTTTCTGGCCACTCTTCCGTAAAGCCCAGCTCTGTGGAGTGTACGGCTTAAAGTGGTCCTATGGACAGATACTCCAATCTCTGCTGTGGAGCTTTGCAGCTCCTTCAGGGTTATCTTTGGTCTCTTTGTTGCCTCTCTGATTAATGCCCTCCTTGCCTGGTCTGTGAGTTTTGGTGGGCCGCCCGCTCTTGGCAGGTTTGTTGTGGTGCCATATTCTTTCAATTTTTTTATAATGGATTTAATGGTGCTCCGTGGGATGTTCAAAGTTTCTGATATTTTTTTATAACCCAACCCTGATCTGTACTTCTCCACAACTTTGTCCCTGACCTGTTTGGAGAGCTCCTTGGTCTTCATGGTGCCGCTTGCTTGGTGGTGCCCCTTGCTTAGTGGTGTTGCAGACTCTGGGGCCTTTCAGAATTGGTGTATATATACTGAGATCATGTGACACTTAGATTGCACACAGGTGGACTTTATTTAACTAATTATGTGACTTCTGAAGGTAATTGGTTGCACCAGATCTTATTTAGGGGCTTCATAGCAAAGGGGGTGAATACATGTGCACGCACCACTTTTCCATTATTTATTTTTGAGCATTTTTTGAAACAAGTAATTTTTTTCATTTCACTTCACCAATTTGGACTATTTTGTGTATGTCCATTACATGAAATCCCCAAAAAAATCTATTTAAATTAAAGGTTGTAATGCAACAAAATAGGAAAAACACCAAGGTGGATGAATACTTTTGCAAGACACTGTAAGTGCCCAATTCATGGCTTCATACTAAATGGTGTGTGTGTTTAGATATTGTAGTTTGACTCACAGACAAATCTTTCTTTGATGTAATCTAATGATGATATTTTAAAGCAACAGTTCAGCTCTAAACATTTTTCTTAAACTGAGAGGTTATTAAATGTCTGTTGTATTAGATTACAGAATGGAAATAAACTGTTAGAACACGATTCTCAGAATTCTGTTGTACATTCACAATTACTCCTGTATTTGAATCACTTCCAAAAAAAGATTCTGATGTTTAAAGTTAAAACAACATTGTGTTTGACCACCTTCCGGAGACACTTGAAACCCTACCTCTTTAAGGAATACCTGGGATAGTATAAAAGTAATCCTTCTACCCCCCCCCCCCCCCCCCCTACCTCACCCCCCCAAAAAAATTATTATAATAATAATAACAATAATAAATAATAATACGATTTTTTTTTAAAGATATAAAAATAAATAAAATATATATAATTTTAAAAATAAAAATAAAAAACAACAATATATATATATATATATATATATATATAATACAAATTAAAATTAAAAATATACTCCAAAATAAATATTAGAAAAACATATAAAAAATAAAATAAAAAAAAGTAAAGTGGTTGTCCCACTGGCTATCATAAGGTGAATGCACCAATTTGTAAGTCGCTCTGGATAAGAGCGTCTGCTAAATGACGTAAATGTAAATGTAAATGTTTGAACTTTGAATAGAAAATAGAAAATAAAAGCTTAATATGTGTACTTTAATGATCATGGTCATAATCTGTGTGTAAGAGCTTTCGTGTGTATGATGACCCGTATTTAGAAATATTAGGAGAAAATGTACTGAAAGTAAGACTGTTGAAACTTCCATTCTCACAAAAATTACTTCTGTTTTAAAGCCACTATTACTTTTGAATTAATGGATTATTTCCTTCTTTTTTTTAACAAGTACTCTGCATAAACAATTGTCAGTGTCTCCATACTGCGACTAGAAATGGTCAGAAAAATCAACACATTTCTATCATATGTATTCATATTAATGTAATAATTTAGTTGTAAATGGCCCCTCCCAGGCCAACCGTATTGGTTGAGACCCCTCAGGGCAGTTTGTCCATTTCTCAGTGTGTACTGTATGGAATGTTGGACAGGAGTGTCATAGCTCACACACTTTTACCAGCAGGTGAAAAGGACACAGAAGGTCAGACCTGGAGTCAATGTGCGTCTGCAGTCTTTTAATGATGGGATAAAAATACTTTGCAATATCTGCCACAACTCTATTAAATTGGTATTGAGGTTGATCACCCGTTAAACCGTTACTTTAAATGGGTATTCAATTCATTATCAGAATGTCAACAGACTTTTTAAATTGACTGAATGAGTATAGAATTGACCTTAACTTTAGCTGTACTACTTGAACATAACTCTAAATGTAAACGTGTAAATGTTTTTAGTTATTGGGGTATTCACAACCTGCACAACTATGTGTCAGTCTACTGAAATGCTCACAACAAAATGGACCCTGCACTAGTCTCCTCATCTCTGTTTTAAACCCTCTCTATCAAATTCTGTATCACATTCTCCTTACTCTCTCGTCCCTCTCTTCTCTCTCTCCTGTCTGGGTCTCTGCCCCTGTGTGTATTTGGGGTTAGGGTTAGACTCAGGTATTTCTCACCCTGTCGAGGAGAAGAGGGAGCGGAGCCCGTGGCTGCCTGAGAACCTTAGGGATCCCTGAAAGAGAGAGCGGGAGGGAGAGAAAGAGAGGCAAGGGTCCAGCGCCTTGAGTGCGGAGTGAGAATGCTGTAAGGAGCACAGTTCAGCGAGGAAATAAACAGGACTTTTCCATCTTTATTTTAAAAAAGACAGTGGACTATCCGATCCCCGATACGTAGGGTGAGGGTCTGAGTGGATTGTACAGAACCAAACAGACATAACCAGCACCATGGGAGCCCCCAGGGTGAAGGTAAGCGAGGAGAGCAGGCATCGTGTTCTAAGAGTGTGTCTGAGATGTTGCTATGCCAGGTTCTGGATGTGAACACTGTGTTTGGTCCGATTGTGGAGTGTGGTTCTTGGGCCTAGGTTCCCCAGGTGGTGTACTCGGTGATGCTGGATTGAGGAACCTAATCTAACTATTGGTTGTGTAATGATGTGGTAATGAGGGTTTATTTTTGGTACTGTGTGAGAGTGTATTTGACTTGGACTGATTTAGCTGGTGTGTAGTGAGCATAAAGAAACCTAAATATACATTGGTGTTTAAATGAAATACTATGTGACCTATTTGCAGGATGATTAGCCTAGCGGTTCACATGCATCCCCCAACAGTGTTTGAGTTCCCTCTGAATTAAGGGTAGTTAGGAGGTAATTACTTTATTTTGTATGTTTCTCAGGAATGTGCCGATTTGACTTTATTGACCCTACAGAGTACTCCACTGTACACAACAGCAAGTCAAATGACAAGGCTTGAAACATTGTACTTCATAACTTTGAGAGGTGATTTTGTTATTTGACAGTTTGGGTAAATGTTTTTTTTTTGTTAACAGTAGCTAAATATAAATGAACAATATCAAATTTGCGTCAATCAAGAAGTCCAGGATCTCCGTTTACACTGGGTACAGATTGAAGCAGTTGCATTTCTTTTTGCAGCTTTCCTTTGCAGATAGTGTATTACTATTCAATGAATAGTGATTATATTGGAGAATAAGTCTAAGTAATGAAGAGATACAATAAAGCTTTTTCATGACTACTGACCGTTTCAATGGAAGGATTAGGGTTAGTGGAGGTGAGCAGTCTGTATCCCACACTGCACCTCAGTGTCCCAGGGGGCCTGGAGGTTGGTGATGATCACCAATTTACACCACCAGGCAGACATATGGTGTCAACTCTATGTTGCAAAGCATTCTGGGTACTTGACCAGGTAACGTATGGAATACTACAGATCAATTGGTTTATTTTCAACAGATAGTCCAAATTGTCTGCCTTATCATTGAGCACCATTTGTCATGTGAACACTGATGTTTATTTATTGCCCATTGTCTGCACAAGTGTTTAATTGATGATGTCCTTTTTGGAGTTTTGAATAAAAAGCTGGAAATGGCATTGATGAAAAGTGGTGGACTCATGGTGGACAGACAGCTGCTTGACATCACACCAAACAGAAAAAAGGCCTTTTACCATCTGAGGAGTGGGATGAAGAGACAGCCTTTAGAGGACAGAGAAATTGGCCTGGAATGTGAGAAGGGCCTGAGAACTGCTGTGGCTCACTCTGTGGTTTTATCCTAACAAAGAGCTTTTTGAGCCTGTATTTCTCTATCTTGTTCAAGACGCAGATTAGCTCTTGCCTAAATCTACAGAGCATTATACAGCCCTATCACCTGGATGGCTGATCCCTGCAGAATCTCTTCCCACATGTCTCATGTCATGTGACTTCACTGTGGCATCCAATAGGCTGCAGTTAATACAAGGATGTGACTTCAGTTTATTGACCCATTTTCACTCTGGAAAATATATAGATGCTACACTATTTTTGGACATGATTTAGCCATATGGCTCAAAACCATTTGGCCACATGGTTGTTTCCTGTAAAGTCAGGCACACATAGAGGAGACAATTTGTCAAAAAACATCTGTGGCCAACTATCACCCATTTAGTCCCCATGGTGTGTGGTTGAACATTATTGTAGCACAGGAGGTTTGTGGCACCTTAATTGGGGAGGACGCACTCGTGGTAATGGCTGGCGCCGAATGAGTGAAATGGTATCAAATACATCAAACATGGTTTCCAGGCGTTTGATGCCATTTAATTTGCTCCGTTCCAGACATTATTATGAGCCGTCCTCCCCTCAGCAGCCTCCTGTGGACTGTAGGTAGGCCTACTCTTTCCAATTTCGATAAGTAGAATCTTGGATAGCAGTCGGTGATGACTTTCCACCTGACTGATCAGAGCATAACTTTCCCCATTGGAGATGTAGGCTGAAGAAATGTAGGCTACGTGACATGTTCCAGTATGTCTTTTAACAAAGATTCACCAAAGATTCTGGCCAACTACCCAACCACAAATCATCTTTGGTCATCTCCCCTATAGCATATAGCCTTTTCTAGTGATGGTCTGATAGGCTACCATGCAGACCAATTTTTATTTCAACAACCCCAAGCAACAACTCCACAAATTGTTGCTTTCTGTGAGTTCCTTTTGGAGTAGGATACTCAAGCTTGCTGCTTGTCATACCGTAGATACAGTTATATGAAAATAAAGTTAGAATTTTTCTGATTGAGCAGATTAGTCATAGGCCTAATAGGCAGGCCTACATTTAGTCATTGAGCTCAGGTGCATCCTGTTTCCATTGATCATCCTTGAGATGTTTCTACGACTTGATTGGAGTCCACCTGTGGTAAATTCAATTGATTGGACATGATTTGGAAACACACACACCTGTCTATATAAGGTCCCACAGTTGACAGTGCATGTCAGAGGAAATACCAAGCCATGATGTCGAAGGAATTGTCCTAGAGCGCCGAGACAGGATTGTGTTGAGGCACAGATCTGGGGACCAAAAAATGTCTGCAGCATTGAAGGTCCCCTAGAACACAGTGGCCTCCATCATTCTTAAATGGAAGAAGTTTGGAACCACCGGACAAACTGAGCAATCGGGGGAGAAGGGCCTTGGTCAGGGAGGTGACCAAGAACCCGATGGTCACTCTGACAGACCTCCAGAGTTCCTCTGTGGAGATGGGAGAAGCTTCCAGAAGAACAACCATCTCTACAGCACTCCACCAATCAGGCCTTTATGGTAGAGGGGCCAGACGGAAGCCACTCCTCAGTAAAAGGCACATGACAGCCCGCTTGGAGTTTGCCAAAAGGCACCTAAAGACTCTAAGACCATGAGAAACAAGATTCTCTCGTCTGATGAAACCAAGATTGAACTCTTTGGCCTGAATGCCAAGCATCCTGTCTGAAGGAAACCTGGCACCATCCCTATGGTGAAGCATGGTGGTGGTAGCATCATGCTGTGGGGATGTTTTTCAGCAGCAGGGTTGAGGGAAAGATGAACGGAGCAAAGTACAGAGAAATCCTTGATGAAAACAAGGTGACAAGTCTCTGAATGTCCTTGAGTGGCCCAGCCAGAGCCCGGACTTGAACCGGATCGAATATCTCTGGAGAAACCTGACAATAGCTGTGCAGCGACGCTCCCCATCCAACCTTACAGAGCTTGAACAGATCTACAGAGAAGAATGGGATGAACTACCCAAATATAGGTGTGCCAAGCTTGTAGGGTCATACCCAAGAAGACTCAAGGCTGAAATAGCTGCCAAAGGTGCTTCAACAAAGTATTGAGTAAAGGGTCTGAATACTTATGTAAATGTAATATTTCAGTTTTTGCTTTGTCATTATGAGGTATTGTGTGTAGCTTGATTGATGAGGAAAAAACTATTTAATCCATTTTAGAATAAGGCTGTAATGTAACAACATTTGGAAAAAATCAAGGGACCTGAATACTTTCCGAATGCACTGTATGCAGTGGCGATTTCAGCATGTAACTCTTGGTGTTTTATACATGCCAGCAAAGCCACTACACAACACAACACTAAACATGAATTGCACTATAACGGTGACAAACGGTGCCCACAAACTGTTAGGGCCTACATAAAGCTGTCCAAACAGCAGTCCCATCACCTTACCACTGCTACACCTGGTTATCAGCGGAGCCTTGTCTGACAGCGAATCAGTTAATTCAGCCTCATTTACTGCATGAAAAAGAAACATAGCTGATATGGCTGACTTGCTTAAACAAATGTGGTTTCTACTGACAATTGAGATGTACAAACTATGGCATAAGGGGATGACGAGCGGATAAGAAGCTATCCGTAATTTCGATTAAGACAATGAGCGAGCTAGGACGGACATAGTCAACATAACTATTTGTTCAGCACTTTTGAAATGTACAGCGACAGAATTCAGAACATGGGCTATTCTTACAGTATTCTCCCTGAACACCAAGTCAGAACTGTAGGATAAATAAAGGGGACATATAAGCAGACATTGAAAGCTCTTACAATATTTGATGATTACATTTCTTACTACACAACATACACTTAGTATTATTACTTTCTTAGCTACAGTATACATATCTCCTTGGCATATTACATCATTTATGCAGCAGCATACAAGACATTTTTGGACTCACCTTGTTGTGCTGTGCTCACTTGAACAGGACGATGGCGCAGCGGTCCTTTGTGGGCTAATTTTGTCATCAAACTTTGTCATCAAAGTCTGGCATTCTCTGGATTTATGGTGCTTTCAAGACAACTGGGAACTCTGAAAAAAAAACAAGGTTGAATCATGATGACGTCAGTGATCTTCAGGTCGGAGCTCTGGAAAGAGGCCCGGTTTCCCGACTTGCAATTCCGAGTTGGCTGACCGTTCAAAATGTATTTTCCCAGTCGGAGCTCGTTGTTTTCAGAGTTCCCAGTTGTCTTTAACTCACTGAAGTCAGATTTCCCAGTTCTGAGTTTCCAGTTGTGCTGGATTGACAGCATGGCCAATGTTGAATGTTTATCCGTTTAAGCTTGGAAAAGAGACCCTTAAACCCAGACTTGGGACCACACACCCACTCCACTGAATAGCAGGCTAGTGATTGCTTTGCAATGCTTGCAGTTAGCCACTGATTCCTTCCAAACCACTCATTGTTGAATTTGCGATTTCCAACTTGTTGTGTAATGTTGATGGCCAATGGCCGATGAGCACCGATACATACGTTTTATCTATAATTATCTCTTCATTATTTCTCTTCATATGACAAGGATTAAAATGCATTTGCCAGTAGATTGTCGTCTTGATTCATGATGATGACTTCTAGCTTGCTAGCTAAGATTTTGAAAGTATGATATTGACATGATCAGTCCAATCAAAGCTACTGTATATATAACATGATTTGACATAATTTAATCTGTGGCCACTGACCTTGAGCCTTCTTGGATGGGCACTTCTAATGTAAGTCTATGGCAGCACCAAAGGGGCTTGAATTGTTTAGCTCTACCCTTAGATTTGGCGGTGACGTAGTGTCCCCCGTAGTGACAGAACAATGAGCCAATCACGATGCAACTAGAGAACATTACCCAATCCCGGTGCAACTAGAGAACATTACCAACCCCTACGCTCTGTATTTTCCGCTGGCTGCCCCACCACCACAGAAAGCACTGAGCTAGGCTGAAACACCTGCCTCAAGAAAGCAAAAAAGAGACCAAATTTGTATGCGGCTTTATTAACTCAATGAATTTTATATTTATTTTTTTACATTGTTAGCAAACTGAAATGTGACACGTATTAATGTCAAAATAACATGCAGAACAGGCAACTTATTTTTGCTAAAAAGGTGGGACAGGTCGCCACTGACTGTATGTCTGAAACTTGAAAAGGGCCATGATAATCGGGAATAAACATTTTCTTAGTGAGCCATTAGCCTTCAGTAGCCGAGACATCTAGTCACCAAATGTTTTGTCCTCAAAACAGTTATTAATTTAAGAAGGAGTTAAAAGTGTAACGAAATAAGAGTGCATGCAGGCTATACTTTGAGCAGTGAGGTCTTCCACCTTCCAACAAAGGTAGGTCTTCCAAACATTGTATTTTGTTTATCGTGATAGCAGCGAAGAAATAGGCTAAAGCCTACATGGTCGTTTTAACCTTGCTTTATTTTCCCGCCTTTTCCACAGAAGTCCGTTTTTCTCGCGGCTGCTCTTACTCCTATTGTGCATCCCCCCCTCGCTCGCACAGGACGAGTACTCTGGTTACCACTCAGGTGAGCTGCCTGCACATGCCTTGTTCGCACCATTAGCCTTCTCGCCAATACTGTTTGATGTTTGCTAATTATCTACATTTCTAGAGGTAAGGTAATACAGTAGGCTGTGTCTTGATTTTATTTCAGTTGACCTAGATTGAGGTTAAAATGTATAGACCTATATTCTCATGTGACCACAATTAAACATTTTTGAAAATTGTGTACAAACATTACATTGGTCTATCTATCTAATAACGGACTATTTTGTTTTGTAAACAGACTATCATTTTACTGGGGAGGTTTCAGGTTTGTTCAATTATTGTTTTGTGTCCTATTAGGTGATGAACACACCTATGAGGGCTCCTTGGTCGACAACTATGAGCATTCAGGATACCCACATCCCAGGTAATAACTACAACATAGAAAAGTTCCTCCCATCTGGTCAAAAGCCAGAGTTTGGTCTAAACCTTCATAACCCCTCTATGCCCCCTCCAAATGGCTTATATGCATCACCAAACCATTTTTCAAGAATAATGTGAAAACCCTCTTATTATGGCTGATAGGGGGCACTGTGTTGAAGCCACCATGCCTCCATCTTGGCACAATATTTTGGAAGCTACATTCGTTTTTGCGACGTTTATTATATTACAGACACTTTAATGCATACTTTTAAAATTATATTATGTGAGCTAAACAAAAGTACAAAATGAAAAAATATATTAAAAAAATTTCTTTAAAATATAATTATTTTACATTACTAATGTTACTGTCCCCACTACAACACAAACATAATTTTGTCCTTGAAACTTTTAATTGAAATACTGTAGAATTCCATTCATTCCTATGGAGGACTGTTCCTACTGGTGAGTGCCATTATGGCCCACCTTTGGCTTCAAAGCCTCTCAATAGCCAGTAGATCGCATCAGCAATCCAGGGTTTATACATCATTGGGTGGAAATCGACTGAGGTATGGTCAGATGATAAAGTATTTGAATACCCGCCTGGAACCAAAATATACACTAAGTGTACAAAACATAAGGAACAACTTCCTAATATTGAGTGTGCACACCCTTTTGTCCTCAGAACAGCCTAAATTCGTTGGGTCATGGACTCTACAAGGTGTCAAAAGCGTTCCACAAGGATGCTGGCCCATGTTGACTCCAATGCTTCCCACAGTTGTGTCAAGTTGGCGGGATGTCCTTTGTGTGGTGGACCATTCTTGATACACACAGGAAACTGTTGAGCATGAAAAACCCAGCAGCGTTGCAGTTCTTGACACAAACCGGTGCGCCTGGCAGCTACTACCAAACCCTGTTCAAAGGCACTTAAATATTTTGTCTTGCCCATTCAGCCTCTGTATAGCACACATACACAATCCATGTCTCAATTGTCTCCAGGCTTAAAAATCATTATTTAACCGGTCTCCTCCCCTTCTACACTGATTGAAGAGGATTTAACAAGACATCAATAAGGGATCATAGCTTTCACCTGGTCAGTCTATGTCATGGAAAGAGCTGGTGTTCTTAATGTTTTGTACACTCAGTGTATAGTCAGATACTAACTACTACTACAGTACAAACTCTATAGTATGTTTCTACCTTTGACATGAACTAACCTGTAGAATGCAAACATTTCCCTCTCACTTGCCTCACTTAAACTGCTCCCCATTCCTCGCTGGTAGAGGAATACCCACCGGAGCCCACTCACAGCTATGAGGAGCAGCAACCCTCATCTGGATATGACCCCTATGCACCAGCCCCCACCAGTGTGAGCATGATCACAGAGGACTCCTACCCCTACACCACCACTACACAGGTGAGGGGAAGTCAAGGGGGCAAAGTATGTTATGTGTAATGGCATGTCATGTAACATTGTGTTCTGTCATGTAATGTGATATCATGTTATAACTGCAGGTGCCATACGAGCAGGAGCCCTACTACGAAGAGTCGCTCCAGGCCCCTGGTGGTGGGGAGGCTTCTCTGGGGGAGGAGGGGCCAACCGACTGTAACTGTGAGCCAGGAGAGCCAGGGTTCGCTGGGTTTGCAGGGCCCAAGGTAGGACGAAGGCTCTAACCTAACGCTCAACGCCATGCAAATGTCATTTAGAACCTTATAAACAGCAAACATCCATTTACTTTGCTGATTAATGCTGATTAAATGGCATTTATATAGCGTTCACTAGGCCTTTAAGTGATTTGTATTGTATGGGGGTAACTCACCCTATCCACCACCATCCTGTGGTATCCTTCTGTTTTATGGACTAAACAAAATATCTGTCTGTGTGTGTCTGTCTGTCTCTGTGTCGGTGTGTTTCTGTCTGTCCATCCGTCCATCTAGGGAGCCAGAGGACTGCAAGGTAAAGATGGCTTCCCTGGGGCTCAAGGACGGGAGGTGAGTGTTAATCGCTGTATAATCACTTCATCAAATTCATAGTGCATGCCAAATTACACCCTCCATTGTGCTTAATTAATGAATCATTGCACATATCCCTATTGGAGGAATGCTGTTGATATGGTTCCTGTGTTCAGGGGTACAAAGGATTCAAAGGAGTTCTAGGAAGAGGCGGAGACACAGGGCCTGAGGTGAGGAAGTAAAACATGTAAAATAAAAGAGCTCACACAAATACCCAAAGCAGCCTTAGACACTATCCAACTCCCTAAGCGAGGCTTGAACCCAGGTTGCCCAATCCCACAGCAAACACGCTTGCCACAACCTCAAGAGACATACAGTATCTGCCTGTAATGTTTGTAACTCACAAATTATGGTGTCAACATTACACTATTGAATTTGACTCAACAGCTGTATTGACCTTTGTCATCTCTACAGGGTGACTCTGGGCCTGATGGGGAGGACGGTGCTTCTGGTTTCTCTGGAGCCCAGGTAAGTAAAAGGCCTCCAGAGAATATCACAGATGTAATGTATGTCTTTCTTTCATTGTTTTGGGCTGATCTGTTTCTATTCTCTGGTCTAAATTCTGAGACATGGCACAAGCAATGTAACATTTTTCTATATTGATTATGGACAGTAGATGGCGATCTCTTTATTATTCAGAACTGGAGAGTGGAACTGTTGTGTAGTTGAGGTTAGAGGCTGAGCTTCAACAACTAGGATGGCCCTTTCTCTTTCTCATTCTCTCCCTTGGTCTATATTTTATTCCATTATTTCGCACCTTGTCTCTCATTCTTACTCTCTTCCTACAGGGCTTGCCTGGTCTTCCTGGCGATCCAGGTGAGACTGGGGTGCTAGGACTGAAGGTAAAGACCCTTCCTCAAAACCAGTCTGCCATCCTACAAAATATGTATCACATCAAACAAAATCACCCTCTACCTAAAAAGCCATTATAACCCCATATCAAAAACAGTGTGGCCCTTCACAAAATCTAATTTGAATGTTCACTAATAACAGGCCAAGCCACCATAATGTTTGTCTAAAGTTTAAACCTACAAGAAACAGCATGACATTACATAAAACCTCTGTTGTACCACCGATAACCAATATGACATCATAGGGAACCAGTATGACATCAAGGAATTCCAAAATGACATCACTGAGTACCAGTGTGACATTACAGAGAACCAGTATTGCCGCGGTCAAGACAACTTGGAACTCAGAAACTCTTAAAAACTTGTAGAAAAATGAGGCCCAAGTTTTCCACTTGGAAAATATCAGAATTGACCAACAGGAAGCGCTACGCAAAAAAAGTACGTACATTTGAACTCAGAGGTTCCGAGTTTCTGAGTTGTCTTGAAAGCACCACAGATCACTAGTATGACATCACAGAGAACTGGTCTGACACCACATAATTCAGTATTGAGGCCAATCGAACTCGGCCAAAACAATGGAATTGCCATGGAAACGTGTGGGGGAAAGGGCCGTGGAGGAAAGATCCTGAAACTCCTCATTGCCCGTAGCAAAAATAGCCTACATTTAGCCTATTGTTTATATGTGAATTACACACTATGTTTAGGTAAAAATCTGAGTATACTGGTTGTATGGATTTCAACCCCAACACATGTTCCTGTCATCTTCACCAATCGACTGCAGTACAGTTAAAAATGACTTTGACTACCACCACCGATTTATGTATGCTAGCTATGCTAACCAGCTTATATACGAACGGGAGTTAGCATTTAGCATTCACTTCTTCTAAACCTGAAAAGGGACAACTTGTAAATATTATGCAGCGAAAACCAAATATATCCAAATCGCATTTAAGTAACCACATTGTGACCCTGTTACGAATATCCACTTTGTTAAGTCAGATTTGATGAATGTGTGCCAATATGGTCAATGGAACGGTCTGCGTTTCATTGACTCCTTTACCGCATCCATCAGGTAGACCCCAAAACCTGCAAAAAGGTATGACATTATAAACCCCCACTGTACCACAGAGACATCGCAGAGTACCAGCATGACATCATAGAATACCACTATGCCATCACAGATATCAGCTAATTACACCCCAAAAAATCTTAATTGACAATTTGAAGCTCTCTCTATGCCTGACTGTGTTCCCTATTCTCAACAGGGTGACATCGGTATGGAGGGGCCACGCGGAGGAGTGGGGGTTCCGGGTGAGACTGTGAGTATTGACACAATGCAGCTGTTATGTTTTGTATGTAACCATATTTGGTTTGATATCAGGGATTTTATTTCAATTAATCTCAAAGAAACAAAGAAACAATCCAAAGGTTATTATTGTGTAATTACCATTGTACCATGGATTTTCTAAGGAAATCCACTACCTGGTCATTTCTGTAGCGTAAAATAAAGTGCTTCCTCAAATGAGTGTAAGGAAATTTGATACAAAATCCCCAGCATGTTTCTGTCTTAGTTCTTTGTCTTTTTTCTAGGGTCCAATTGGTGAGGCAGGGCCTGGTGGTCTTGATGGAACTGGAGGTATCAAGGTAAACATGGTGGCCACCACAACTCAACATTGTCCACTCACAACAGTTGCCACCGCTCAGTGTTGCAACCACAACTCAGCACACTCTATCTTCTCAACATGTTCAAATCAATTATTCACTCAGCTCCTTACACAGCTCTCACTAGAAGCAATACTAAGACTTTATGATGTGAAAGCCTCTAAAAGGCTATGTGATGTGGTCATTTCCATTTAACATATAAACAACATACAAATGATTGTAATTTGTTCTGGCCATGTTGAGACATCTTTTTTTCCAACCTTTCTTCTCAGGGATCAACTGGAGCAGAAGGGAAACAGGGTCCTGAGGGAGCAGAAGGGGAAAAGGTAGCGCCATTCAACCTGGCTTTGTGACCATTGTTAACTAAACCATGGTTGAATAACTAATTATTTAAAACAAATCTTATGATTTTCCTGTCTAAAATGTCTTCCATCTCATCCGTTCTCTTCCACAGGGTCAGATTGGAGCACCTGGATTCTCAGGGGACCATGGGGAGATGGGCTATAATGTAAGATGGACGTCTGTCTATCTGTCACACCATTCATCTCTCCAGTTGGACCTCTTGTTTGTCCTTCTCTACAAAGACTATGCTATTCCCTACATGGAGGGAGACCATTAATTCTAACTTTCTTTTTCTTTCTGTGTTTTATAGGGGTATCCTGGAGAGCCAGGAGGCAGAGGAGAGACCGGTCACAAGGTATGTTTAGGGGGACATGAGTAGTGTTGTTTTCACAGAAAGTACTCTGGTTGCTTTCAAAAGTCATTGGCCCTTACTCTTCACAGAAACGACTCTGATTCCCCCAAGATTTCTGTGTGTTTATGGTTGTTTTCCCTAAACTGCATACTGTTATTTTCACTGAAGGTTTTGGTATTGTTGATTTTGTGAGTCATGTGGCTGTTAGCACTTCCTCCACATGGTAGATTAGATTGATACTGTAGTAGCAATGTCTCCCTTGCTCTCTTCTCTTCCACTTTCTGTTTTCTTTGTATCTCTCTTTCCTCTCTCTCAGGGTGACCAAGGCCCAGGGGGCATGCCAGGCAGTGACGGGGAGCCTGGAGAGGATGTGAGTAACAGTATGATAACCACTAAATTAGTAATAAATCGGTAAGGAATCAGTTGATGGGATTTCTCCTATCAAACCACATTTACTGTTTATTTTCCAGGGTCCACTTGGAGTTCCTGGGGTGATCGGCTTTCCTGGAGAGTTTGGACAAAAGGTAAAGTGAAGGAGAATTGCATGCTGGGTATCAAGATGACATCATCACAATGGCTGTATAATCCAAACATGTCTAGTTGACCTCATCTGCTGTTATGACATGGATGTCATTTGCTATACTGTACAGTACATTTATTCATATCAAATCAAATGTTATTTGTCACATGCGCCGAATGCAACAGGTGTCGACCTTACCGTGAAATGCTTACTTACAAGCCCTTAACCAACAATGTAGTTTTAAGAAAATAAAACATATTTACTACATATACTAAAACTGGACATGTACTTTTAATACTTAAATGAATACTTTGTGAATAATGGCCAGTCTTCCCTCCTAGGGCGCGAAAGGGGATCGTGGTGTGAGGGGACCTCCTGGGAGAGTAGGAGCTGGGGTAAGACAGGCTTTATAACCACTGTGTGAGGTGCTCTAATCTCAATCACATGGACACAGTAGACTATAGATCACAATACATACACTGTCACTTCCACATTCCTCAGTAAATTCCCCTCAGTGTTGTTGTTAATCAGATGTAAATTCCATGTTGCTTGAGGGTTTTGTGTGGGTGGACAGACACCCATGTGATATTGTTGACAGTCAAAACAAGAAAGGTAACAGATCTATTAGTAAAGTCCCTGAAAAGGTTTCAGTGTCAGGTAAAAACACAGATGGTCATGCTGGTTTTTGTTAAAAACCCCAGCATAACTGTCAGAGATGTTATGGCAAGAGTACCGTGTATCTTGTTATAAGTTTAAAATTAAGAATGATCTGTCATTGGAATTTAAATTCCTCTTTAAATAAGGTTCTTATTCTAAAGTGTGTGTGTATTTGTAGCAGTTTACCTATGTGTATTTCATATTATAGGGGCCTCAAGGATATAGAGGAGATGCAGGAGTTCCAGGGAAACCAGGACCTAAAGGCCTGCAGGCCCAGCCTGTGTGTATATGTCATTACTCAAACATTGTCATTATCACTACAATTATCATCATTGACTTTTGATGATTATGCAATTGTTGATTTAATGCTTTGTTTCTAGGGAGCCAAGGGGGAGACAGGACCCGATGGTGAGAAGGTAACCTTTTGTTTACGTTCCCCATCAGACTGCTAAATTACCAGTCAATTTCTCACAGTTAATCAAGCGCACACACACACACACACACACACACACACACACACACACACACACACACACACACACACACACACACACACACACACACACACACACACACACACACACACACACACACACACACACACACACATACACACATACACACACACACACACACACACACACACACACCAGTAAGTGAAAGTGGATGTGTATTGGTCATCTGCTGTTTATGTTTGGGTCTTTCCTTTGTGACTGATAAGCTGTAATAAGCAGTCCTATCATTGCCATGGCATCTTACTGACTCATCTAATGTGCTGATTGTTCCTTCCTCAGGGTGGGGTTGGAAGAACTGGAGTGAAGGGAGGGAAAGGAGACAAGGTAATCATGTGACAATGGCGAGGCGACGTCACTCTCTCATCTGTCTACTTCCTGTTTCCATTGATGTAGTGGGACTGTTTTTCTTCTTACCAAAAATGTTTCTGTTCCTCTTTCCAAACAGGGAAGTTTTGGAGCACGTGGTGACAAAGGACAGGTTTGTATCCTCCATTCTGTGAAAGTATGAGTTTTTTTCACCCTAACTCATTCTATGTCACATAAAAACCACAATACTGACACCATAGGTTGTTCCTAGATGACAGCAGACACAACAGTACATACTGTACAGACTTTTTGTGTTCAGTGACTGAACAGTGTCCCCCCTCTCTCTGTCTCCCTCCTTCCCCTCATCTCTGAATGGCAGCAAGGGGAGAGAGGTACCATCGGCCCTGATGGCATTGTTGGACGAAATGGACCCCCCGGCATTCCAGGCTCCAGAGGAGAGCCAGGTCCAGGCGGTGACCTGGGCGTCAAAGGTGGCTCTGGACCTAAAGGAGTGCCAGGTGCCCCTGTGCGTATCAGGAGCCAACCCCAGTCTATCTGGAGGAAGGGTCTCCCCCTTATTTTACATGAACACATATCTAGCAAAAACGTTTACTGACTGATTGTTTGATTCCTTCCATCTGGATCCAGTGCCTATTTTACCTCAGTAGAACGGAGGAAGAGGAATGAAGAGCGGGAAAATAAACACTATATCCTTCTGTTGACAGACAGGGAGACTGAAGGACTGTTGGTGGTTTTGATAGGTTTACCTGCTGTTGACAGACAGGGAGACTGACAGACAGTTGGTGGTTTTGATAGGTTTACTTGCTGTTTCATTTTGAGTTTAGACCAGTGTCATTTTATGACCGTTTGACTACCTGAGTTTTTGCTGTAGGCTATGTGACGAAGCAACACTCAGTAAGCCTGTCCTCATGCTGAGGTCTGTGTCTGTGGCCAGCACTGATGTAACAGATCCCTGTAACTGGACGGACAGACACAGACAGACAGACACTATTATTAATGTTGTTGTGTACCTCTCTGTGTCCTGCCTGCGTCCTTCACTGGCTGACCTGACTGCTCAATACCGTCTACATTACATCATAGATTACAGTCAGGATGTCTATATGATGAAAACACGACCGCTTTTATTCAGGTCAAGAAACAAGCCTGAAGATTTGGGGGTTGGCTACTTTTGTAATAGTGTTTAGTTGATTGATACAATAATATACTAAATATTTGTATGCGTAACTTCTTCTATTTAGGCTAGATGGTTAAGGTATGTTATTGTCTGTTACTAGTTGGGGGGCCAGTATGAAAAAAATAATTAAAAAATGTATGCACTAACTGTAAGTCGCTCTGGATAAGAGCGTCTGCTAAATGACTAAAATGTAAATGTAAAATGATTGATCGATTGATTACTTGCTTGGTTGATTGATTGCCAGCTTTTTGACCTCAGGGCCCTGGGCTGACAGATGAGCAGGTATTGCAGCTATGTAAAGGAGTGGTGACAGCCCAGATCTCCCAGTATGCTGCTTCCATCCGGGCCAAGTGTTCCCAAGGATGCCCCATCAACAACCGCACACTCATTGGGCCGCCCGGAACCAGGGGACCAACTGGAGAATCAGGCAAACCCGTGAGTCACACAGCCCCCAAACCAACCCCTATCTACTAAGGAAGGCCTTTAGTCCAAACGATAATAAGGTCTGTTAACCTCTCTCTCTCTCTCAGGGTAAAGCGGGCAAAGCTGGAGCCAAAGGAGCCAGGGGCATCCAAGGGGACACAGGAATGGATGGTCAGAAGGGGGCAGAGGGTGAAAGAGGTATGTACTCCAATAGACTTAGTTCAACCAAACTTGATTACTGGTAAACAAAACCTTGATCACTAAGGCTCATTTCAAGTGAAAATGAGTGGAGCTCCTTTGTAGTGGCATAGCTTCAGAGTTCACCCACAAGCTCTGTTTTACTCCACAGGTACAAAAGGTCTGAAAGGAAAGGGGGGTGAGCCTGGTAAAGGTCTGCCAGGACACGATGGGCATCAAGGCCTCAGAGGTAGGACACTGTTTACACTGGTGTGAAACTCTCAGGTCTACCTCAAAATTGATTGTCTTAGAATTGTTGGAAAGTATATGTAACTCACTTCCAGATTCACTTGAAAAGGGATTGTGTGGTTTTTATTCAACATTTATGTTAGCAGGAAGTCTTCTTTTTCAAGAGAACTGTTAAGATGCCACCTCCAATTGTTAATTTCTTTCCCCCACAGGGCTGCCAGGCCACCCAGCAGAGCCAAAGAAAGGTATGGCAGGTCCCAGAGGGCCCCGTGGTTTCACAGGCGCTTTGGGCCAGCCTGGCATGGCGGGCAACGCAGGAGTGCCCGGCTTCTGTGAGGCACGGGACTGCAGCATTCACGCGCCTGTGATGCGCAAGGAGCAGGGCCTGGTGAAGGGACCCCACAATCTAAGCCCCAAGATCTAACCCCAAGAAGGAGCTTCAGAAAGGGGTGAAGGAATGGTCCACGATGAGGAGTCATATTGGACAGTTGCGCCATGGCAACGTTGGGGTTAATTCCATTCACATCTTAGCCAAACCAGGAATTGAAGTTGACATTGAGTTTTGAACTGGGAAATGACCAATGTGTACAGCATTGATCTTTTTGAATTTCTGCACAGAGAAATGAACCCAACCTTGACTGCATTCCATCTGAGCCAAGCAACGCTCCCAATTAACTCTAATGTTTAGGCATAATTGATAACTTTTTCGCTAGGCCAAAAATACATTATTAATTTTTTATGCAGAAACAAAAAAGAAAATTGTCTTCCCCCAAGCAAACCATAAGTAAAGGGGCTTGAAAAACTGATATGATCAACAATGCTGTGGATCCATTGAAAATAAAAAGTTATGTAAATAATGTTGTAAAGTATCGCAAGTACATGTACTGTGTGTTCTGAAATATCACTGTTTTAGATAAATGCTGTCTTACCTTTTTTTAAGATGAGTCCTCACTTTTTTAGTCGCCACAGTTTGAGTGTCTTTCTGAGAATGTGTGGTCTCTTTCAGTCATCTCATGTTATTTGGGTTAATCTAAATAACTTTATTTTTTTTACATTTACAGATGATCACAGACAATATAACATTGATCAATATATAATTTTTAAAAACATACTATTTGATATGATTTCATATTAAAAATAATACATTGAAATGTGTTATACAGTATATTGTATTTTGAATTTATAGTTAAATAATCTGGCAATGATTTGTAGGACAGCACAAAATGTCTGCCGATTAAATGAATTAACTACCGGTATATTCATTGGATGGCGGTTTTGATTTTTAAATAAATGTATGTACATTATTCATATCACCTCTTAACTGATATTTTTGTCATTGTCAATCTTCATTGAGAATCATCCCAACACATTACAAGGCGGAAACATAGCCCTGTAAACTCAAGTATATCACACACGTGTTCTTAACATTTGTACTTTTGTGTACATGTGTTGGCAATCAGAACCCTGATAGAAAAGAGTCACAATGTTTGGAGACAACTTTTTTTTTTATGCATCACCACTTCACAGGACAGATTAGAAAATGAGCAGAGCATGAACATGGGTGATTGTCTCTCATCAAAAGCATGCAAAACATTATGGCATACAACTATGCTACGAAAGTACACATACATAACATCAACGGATAAGAAAATAAAGCTTATTGAAAATTGTTTAAAGCTGCTCTTGTTCAAAAGGGCTCATCTTAATGTGTGTAACGTTATGGTTGTCAGTTCATATAAGTGTTTGGTTGTATGGACTGGAGGGAGGTAAGTATTATTAATATCATGTTTAAACACTATTGTACAGTACATCTCTCTGAAATCTACCTGGTGAAATCAATCACTTGTCTCTAAGCTTATTGTCTGATCTAGGGGTGAGTAGGTGTAGCTATATTTGTACCAATACAAAATGGTCCAAGTCAAGGTGATATTCTTTATTTTTTAAAGGACACTACTTTAAAATATATATTCTTAAAATCTTGCAAAATACATTCCTTAATTTGATGGGACATAAAAACACACAATTTCACATAGGTCCCAAGGCATAGTGAAGTACTTCCATTTTGTGCCAACAAATTGTCCATGGGAGAGATGATTGGCTTGTAACAGACAGGTTCACAGCTTGTTTTTCTAGCTAATTGTACATTCATACTTTGGTCATTTGTGCCTTTTAGAGTTAATAGGTAATAAATAGCTTAATAAATATATTTCATAAATAACACAGTCTATATGGCACAGCATGATGAGGCAGTGCAGGTTAAAGGTGATCAGCAGCAATAAACACATTTCCTGTTGAAATTCGTGTTCAGTAAAAAAACACTATGGCTTTCTTTCCTCCTCTCTTAGGTGAAACTACATAATGTAAACATCACCCATCCTACAGGTAAACTTGGTTTAGTTAGCAGAGTATTGAGACAAAAAAGGTAGAAAAGTGCATAGAAGACAGCAATGAGACTAAAACATGAATTAGAGTCTGGATACATTCTTCCTTTAAAAAGCAATAAAGGTTCTGAGTAGATATATGTCTATAATACTATTGGCTCAACATTGATGTTAGTTTGTGTAGTGTGTCCCACCCACTACAAATGCCCAACTGTTCTTCATTGGCAGGATAAAGGATGTCATCTGGTTCTTTGTGGACCAACAATGTGAGAAACCCCTCAGACCACATCTACAGTACAAATTATCTGATCATGCAGACCGAAAGCATCAGGAATGTCACAAGTCCTAAAATATAACAGAATAAGTTATTTAGTTTATTTCAAAATCTCTCATTGTAGTTAAAACATCAGGCATTTTCCTGTAGCATCAAAACTTGTTTTGATAGTAATAGAGCTCTGATAATATGCAATTATCTATATTATAATACGCAAAGGATTCTAAGCTGCAGGAGGGTTTCTTCCTACGAATTTGGGCCAATTTTGATCATTTTAAGCTCAAAAGAAGTGCGTCGTCCTCCCACATGATATTGTCCACTTTATAATCCGCTGTGTTTTGTATTTTTGTTTATTATCCCGGTTTTTGTGTTTGGAACTACTTGAGTCCGGTCTCGAGGCCAGTTTGCTTCATCAGCAAAATAATCCTGCAGCAACAGGAAATGTGAAATATTATGTGGATTATAATGAAAGGACATTTTTGTGAGGGTTGATAAATTCTTCGTTAGGGCAAATCACATCTGTAAATTACAAACTTTAGAAGACTTTGTAAACCTTGAATACACAAGTTTGCATTTCCTGCTGTGCAGGTAAATTCTCAGCAACAATGGAGTGATCAAATTAAGATCCTACATCTGTATTGAGTGTCTCTGTCTTGTCTCGGTGTCAGATACATTTTTACTTGGTCTTGATTCTGTCTCGGACAGTGAGGACTCATTATTTCTTGAATTGGACCAGCGGAGTGAAGAACTCATAGTTATCAGCTCCCATTCGCCAGGCCAAATATCCCACACTCCTTTCATGACACATGAATATCTTCTTGCCTATTGAAACCAGGGCTTCCTACTTGACTCATAACATTACTGTCCTTTACTTTCACAGAAATTTATCCTAAAATATTGTCGCGCTCGTCAGAATTGATTTGCTGGTAGCGAAGACATTGTTTGAAAGTTGCATGCTCACTATTAGTAAGGGGAAACTGGGGGAAGTTGTAACATATTTTGTCTTTTCGTCTATTATAGACCTGTTTGGTTCGTGATCATTTGTAGAGTGGCTCTCTATTTGCCGTCAGCATGAATTTTTTCACCATTCTGAATGTCTAAAGAATACATATCTTCTGAAATATCAACACAGCAATACTGGACATTTTGAACTATTTTTATGGTGGAGATTTGACAATTAATGGTCTTGAATTGGACTCGCATTTTTCTGGTCTTGGTCTTGACTTGGTCTCAGACCCCTAACCCCTCTCTTGGTCTCGGTCTTGACTTAGTCTCGCCACCCCCCCCTTCTGGTCTTGGTCTTCACTCAGACTCGATTGGCTCCGGTCTTGGTTTTGAATTGGTCTCGCTTTAGGTGGTATCAAACAACACTGGTTTGGAATGGCACGGTTACTATTGCATCATGTCAATACCATTATGACGTCATTTCGCTGCCAAGGCAAAGCTTAGGCCTATAAAAGCGCGGGTCCAACTACTCAGTGGGTATAGCAATAAAAGGCCACTACGAGGATGCCCAAGAGAAGATGACAGTGATGAGGAGGTGAGTTGTAAGGTGTGTACAGTGCGCCAGGCTGCCACCACGGCCGTGTCCAAACAGAGGGAGTCTCACATTCCAAATTACCATGGCAATTATGCATCACAATAGTAATATTAACGTAACATGCAGCCAGCAATCTGCGGTATCCAAGGTACAGTATTCTATCAACTGCAAGGGTGCTGCTGGGCTTATAGTCTATGGAAGGCCCGTGTGTAAAATCTTCAACAGCATCTTAAACTAAGTCTCAAATCCTTTCAAATAATGAGGTCAAATAAAGCAAGGTACATAATTCTGCATCACAAAATTCATTTTCTATTGTAGGCTACTGTTTTTTTTAACAGATATGGATAACATGGTTTCAAAGCAAGTGCCTACAAAAACAATAGCCTATAACAAGTTTATTTAAATACTCCGGAGTTGAGAAGGTTGATAGCCTATACATAGGCTATTTGCTTTGCAGGAGGGGGGATTTGCATTAAATCAAAAATATTAATTTGTAATGATTTGCCGCTAGTAATGTATATTTTGATAACAGTGCCACTTATTTGTGCAATCAAAATGTAATTCATATATATACTCCTGAGTGGCGCAGTGGTCTAAGGCACTGCATCGCAGTGCTAGCTGTGCCGCTAGAGATCCTGGTTCGAATCCAGGCTCTGTCGTAGCTGGCAGTGACCGGGAGACCCATGGGGCGGTGCACAATTGGTCCAGGGTAGGGGAGGGAATGGCCGGCAGGGATGTAGCTCAGTTGATAGAGCATGGGGTTTGCAACGCCAGGGTTGTGGGTTTGTTTCCCACGGGGGGGCAGTATGAAAAAATAAATAATAATGTATGCACTCACTAACTGTAAGTTGCTCTGGATAAGAGTGTCTGTAAAATGTATATTTTAAAAAGCATACTTTACCGTAATGTGCGAATTGATTGTTTGCAGTGTTAGTGGCTTATCACTAATGGATGGCAGGCAGTAACAGAGGAGAGGAAGGTGAATTGTATGAGTTGACCTACCTTGGTGGTGCAACCAGTAGTTCATGTGACATCGGGACATTCACTGAGGAGGACTTTGCCGGGGAACACATCCTTGCATGGAAAACTGCATTCACCTTTGCCATTTTTGTAGTATGCAATTGGCTGTAGCGAGAAAATAATATTTCACGTCATGTTTCAACTGAAATGGCCCTTGCCCTTCTGCATACTGTTGATGATACTATCAATGGTAATATATAAAAATTAGTGGTAATCAAAATGCCAGACTTCACATTGTATCAACTTGTCATGACCACACATACAGTACCAGTTTGGACACACCTACTCATTCAAGGGTTTTTCTTTATTTTCACTATTTTCTACATTGTATAAAAATAGTGAAGACATCAAAACTATGAAATAACACATATGGAATCATGTACTAACCCAAAAAAGTGTTAAACAAATGAAAATATATTTTATATTTGAGATTCTTTAAAGTAGCCACCCTTTGCCTTGATGACAGCTTTGCACACTCTTGGCATTCTCTCAACTAGCTTCACCTGGAATGCATTTCAAATAACAGTCTTGAAGGAGTTCCCACATATGCTGAGCACTTGTTGGCTGCTTTTCCTTCACTCTGCGGTCCA